GTAAACCTTGAGAGTGGAGGGGGACCTGCCCTTGTCCAGCATCTCTTGAAGGAAAACAAGCAAAGACGGCACCTCGCATGACCGTGGGTCCAGATGTTTGTCGGTGCACCATCTTGAGAACACAGACCATTTAGACGCATAGAGCCTTCTCGTGGAAGGTGCTCTAGCCTGTATGATAGTGTTTCTTACTCCCTCTGGCAAATCGACGAATAGTCGTTGATCACCCATGCATGTAGCGCCCAGCGCCGTGGATGGGGGTGCCAGATCGTGCCGCGAGCTTGAGAGAGGAGATCTGCTCTGACTGGGATGGGCCACGGGGCTGTCTGTGACAGCTGAGTGAGCTCCGGAACCCAGTTCTGACTCCCAACGCGGAGCTATGAGGAGCACCGAGTGGCGTGTGTCCCTGATCCTCTGAATTACCTGTGGTAGCAGAGCGATCGGAGGGAATGCATAGAGCGGGCGGCGAGGCCATTCCTGGGCTAGCTCCTTGAAAAAAATATTGGGCAGTGAGCGTTCTCTTCTGACGCGAAGAGGTCCACTTCTGCTCTGCCGAATAGCCGCCACAGTATTTGGACCGTTTGTGTGTTCAGGGACCATTCTCCTGAGGAGATGAGGTTCCTGGACAGTATGTCTGGACCGTCGTTCAGATGGCCCGGCACGTGCGTCGCTCTGAGCGAGAGCAGGCGGCTCTGAGACCAAACTAAAATGCGGTGTGTCAGTAGGAAGAGATTCCTGGATCTGACACCGCCCTGACGGTTGAGATAGGAGACCACAGCCATGTTGTCCGAACGGATCAGGACGTGGTGTCCCCGAATGAGCGGGAGGAAGCGCGAGAGCGCGTTCTCGACCGCAAGCATTTCCAGACAGTTTATGTGTAAGGGGCTTTCCTGTGTCGACCAATGGCCAAAGGCCGGTGAGCTCTCGCAGACTGCACCCCAACCCGTGTTGGATGCATCTGTCGAGATGACTTTTCGGCGGGAAAAGGTCCCCATCGTGACGCCCTGCCGAAACCATTCTGCTACTGTCCATGGCTGCAGCGCCGTGAGACATGTCTGCGTAACTCTGATCAGCTGGCGGCCCGTGTTCCACGCGCGGTGGGGTACACGGCTGTTTAACCAAAGCTGAAGCGGGCGCATGTGCAGAAGGCCCAGCTGAAGCACAGCGGAGGCTGAGGCCATGTAACCCAGCATCCTCTGAAAAGTTTTCAGAGGTGTGCGGGTGCCCATCTGAAACGAGGCGGCCAGTCGCTGAACACTGCGCGCGCTGTGTAGACAGGCGAGCCGTCATCGTGACCGAGTTCAAATCTATTCCTAGAAAGGAAATCGATTGACTGGGTTGAAGGGAGCTCTTTGTCCAGTTGACAGAGAGGCCCAGCGTTTTCAGATGGTCGAGGAGAACTGCGCTGTGCGACAGAAGCTTCGTCTGTGATTGGGCCAAAATCAGCCAGTCGTCCAGATAATTCAATATGCGCAGCCCCTGGCTCCGCAGGGGGGCGAGCGCCGTATCCATGCACTTCGTGAATGTACGGGGCGCCAGGGATAAGCCGAACGGGAGAACGGCGTATTGATAAACATGACCCTCGAAGGCGAAACGTAAGAATGGCCTGTGACGGGGATTTATCTGGATCTGAAAATAGGCGTCTTTCAGGTCTAGAGAGATGAACCAGTCCCCCTGGCGCACCTGCGCGAGGATTTTCCTGGTAGTGAGCATCTTGAACGGTCTCTTCATGAGCACTTTGCTCAAAAACCTGAGATCTAAAATCGGTCTGAGGCCGCCGTCTTTCTTGGGAACCAGAAAATAACGGCCGTAAAACCCCGACTCGGTCATAGATGGTGGGACTCTCTCTATGGCGCCCTTTTGCAACAGCGTCGCAATTTCTGAGCGGAGCTTGCCGGCGGCCAGCGGGCTGACAGTAGATTCGAGCCGAGTGCGCGCACGAGGCGGGCGGCGGCGAAACTGTAGCAGATAGCCGTTCTTTATAATGCTTAGCACCCACGGGGAAATGCCTGGAATGGCTTCCCACGCTTTGGAGCATGCGGCTAGTGGCCGAATGGCTATATCGCCCTGATTGCTGCACATAGCGGGCTGGACACAGTGTGTGGGCGCGCTTTGAATGTGTGTGGCAACGGGATTTGCACTCAGAGAGGAGTCTATGGGCCGTGAAACAGAGCGAGCAGAGAGGGGACACGCGCATGAGCTCGTGGGCGTGTTTATGTTCTCTGATATTAGAGCGGGCTGTGCCCGTTTCATGTGATGGGGCTCTGAGAGAGACACGGGATATGTTATGCTTGTGTGTATGGGTGAACACATGATTGTGGGCACATTTTCTACACAACTGGCATATTTTCTCTTTTTGAGATTTCTCTGGGTAGCCGTGAAAACGGCTTTTTGTCGCTCGCAAGCGGGCTGGGACACCGGCTTGTTTGTGGCGGTCAACACTACAGCAGTCGGCGAAACAACGGGGACTGGCAGAGGGCGAAGCTTTGACGGCGGTCCGGCCGCAGCGGGAGAGCACCGTCGTTTTCTTAACTTTGCTAGGCAGACTTCTGATGATCAGGCTCGAGACCGAGGCGTTCGACGGCCTGTGAGAGGAGGCGCATTAGTTCCTCCTCTATCCCGGCGCGGATCCCCGCCGACTCTCTCGTGGATCCGAGAGATGACCATTCCTCACTGTCTGACGCGAGCAGTGAACAGGAATCCTTCTCCTCCGCGGCGTCATCGGAAGCGACAGAGCGGCCACTCGGCGGCAACTGTATGTCCGGCTGGGGCGGGGAGGGAGAGCGGGAAGCGGGAAGCGGCGGCGGCGGCCCGCATGGTTCCGCAGGGGGCTCCGGCGGCCTCTGGGAGCGGCGTTTCTTTTTACGCGGCGAAGAGGCAGGCGGCGCGGGAGCGGATTTTGCCGCCAGAAGTCGTGCCCGCAGGGACGACAACGGCAGGCTCTCACAGAAGTCGCATCCTCCATCCGCGAGGGCGAGTTCTGCGTGCTCGAGTCCCAGGCAGAGAGCGCAGATGACATGGCGGTCTCCGTCCTCGAGAGGAGCGCGGCAAGAGCCGCAGGAAAAACGAGACATCTTTAAAAAGACGCTCGGCTCTTTTAGATATAGAGAAAAGAAGGATACAGTCGTTGGATGGCGCTAGCTTGCAGGGCGGCTGAAGGTGGCGAAGACAGCCGGCTTCTTCAGGGTCCGGGAGCTCGCTAGAGTGATGCCTTCTCGACGGCGACGGCTTTTCTCAGGACAGCAGAAGCGTGTAGCTTGCTGAAGATGAAATGAATCAACATATAAGCCTGGGAGAGACTGTTATATACACCATAGCCACGCCCATTCTGGCGGGCCATGATGCAATGAGCGCGCAGGCGCTTCCCATTGGCAGCGGGTTCAGCCCCGCTCTCCCATAGGCTTAAGCAGTTCTCTCTGAGCGAACCAATGAGCTTGCTAGCTAGCCTGCTCTAGGTCTGCCGCAGAGGAACTGCGTTGTCAATGGATACAAATTATGAAATAATTTTTTGGCTTCAAACTCTCAGCAAAGATGAATCTTTCCCGCAGCGTAAGCTAGTTTACGCAATACGAGAGAACCTCTCGTAAGAGAACGTGTATCGCGATTCGTTTAACATTTCAACCGACTTGAATCGTCACACATTTTTATCGATTTTCAACCGGTTGCGAGTGAATCGTTACATCCCTAAAAATAGTATAAACGGTAATATTGAGAAATAATATATATAAAATTTAAAATAACTGTTTTCTATTTGAATATATTTTAAAATGTAGTTTATTCCTGTGATGTCAAAGCTGAATTTTCAGCATCATTACATTACAGTCTTCAGTGTCACATGATCCTTCAGAAATCATTCTAATATAATGATTTGCTGCTCAAGAAACATTTCTGATATCATTCTATTGTTTTTACTGTCACTTTTAATCAGTTAATGCATCCTTGCTGAATTAAAGTTTTAATTTCTTTCAAAAAAGTCCCAAACTTTTAAATGGTACTGTATTTATTTACATTGCACTCTCATGGCAAAAAAACATTCAGCTTCACACAAAGCTTAATCTGCAGAGACGTCTTGCATTTCCAGCACACAAACACAGCCTGATATATTGGACATCTTGCTAAATAATTTTATTGAATTCTCACAGTCTACGCCAACTGCAAATAAGGATGTCATCCAGACCGGCACAGCGTGAAAGTTAGTCAACGATGAATCCTTTAAACCTGGTGAAATGGGCTTCTGTGTGTAACGGGCAGGGAGATTCATGTGCAGTTAAAGGACTCCCGGGTCTGCAATCAAACACGCACAGCGTGAGATCTGGCTACACTTTGCAGTGCGTGCTTGAGATTCATGTGCTGTATTATTCTGTGCTTATCTGAGGTTTAAATGTGGAGGTGAACCGGTGGTTCTGATGGGGTGTGGGCCTCTGTGATAAATGGCAGGGATGAGTACGCTCAGGGGCCAGTAAGGCACAGCTGCTGTTTGGTATTATCAACAGATGTGAGAACTGTGTCTTAGATTCTCTAGAAGTTTTTGGAGGCGATGGGACATGTTTAAAGGCCGGCAATCTGCGAATGTCTGTCTGGTACCAGTTAAGCAAATGCAATCCAGGTGAATGGATTATGAAAGTAAAATGCAATTGAGGTGAAATATTTTGAACCTACATTCTTACGTCGGTCTGATTGCCTAGAAACGCAGTCGCCATCCTCTTCTCAAAAAGGCGTTTGATTTGAGGCATCATTCATGGATGTAGAATAAATGGTGCTGGACAATTTACTTGTCAAGTTTAATATTATGTTCAGTGGTTTGTTCAAAATGCCAAAGCAAACATTGCTAGACTATTGTTTTGATATTGTATTACATCGTTCTAGAGTATTGTTTTGATATTATTGATGTTGTGCCGAGGTGTTTGAAATGGGGCCTTGACTAAATGTTGTTTACACTACCTGACTGAGTGAATCACAAAGATAAACATCATGTGTTCATGTGTGTATTTTTTTTCCCCCAGACACTTTGAGCACATGAAGGATGACTCCATCGTCTGCAACATAGGCCACTTTGACTGTGAGATCGACATGAAGTGGCTCAATGAACATGCAGCGGAGAAAATCAACATCAAACCTCAGGTACAGGATTAATATTTGGTGGCTGCCACTCAAGACTGCACTAGGGGAACAGTAATGCATGGTGTTTTTGTTGGTTTTAACCAGGAATTTAACCTAATTTTTCTTTAATTATATTCAATTATTAATATTAAATAAGTGTTATTTATTGCGCTTTAAATCAATTGGCGTTTTGTTTTTTGTAAAAGATTTTGCCCCTGGTTTCAAAGACGAGGCTTAAAGGGACACCAGGCAGGAATCCCGTTTTGTCAAACAGTGACCCCTAGAGTCGCTGTGGATAACTTGTATTTAACGTTAATGTCGTAAATACCACTCACGCAGAGCGTGACGTGTTACATAGTATACAATAGTACATTGTTTAATTTGTCGTTTAATGAGATCTAATAGTGGTGAGAATTTTCACGTGATTAAATAAATAGATCCGACAATTATCCCCATGAACTTTAATGGTCCAGTGGCAGAACTTTTGCCAAGTGTGGGGCGGCGAGAAGGCCACCATTCAACCCGAAAGAAGTCATATAACCATTTCAATAACTCTGAAGCTGTTCAGTTAAGCTAAAAAAAACTGCATAGAATCCCTTTAAAGGGATAGTTCACCCAAAAATGAAAATTCTGTCAGTTATTACTCTCCCTCATGTTGTTCCAACCCAGCAGGCACGTGCACATATAGACATCAAAAGGGGCTTGAGCACCTGCCCTTTTTATTCCTGGAGAGAAAGTGCCCTTTTTTCTGGGATGTTTTTTTTTATTATTTTTTTTGAAAAATAATATTCCTGTTTGCGCACAACTTCCCTGTCAAACAAATATATGTATTGAATAGTGTATCTAAATATCAGGTCAGGAGTTCTGAAGCGCCGATCAGAGTAAACGCGTCTGCTCTAGTGAGCTCGCGCTGCGCTGCCGTTTGGACTCTGAGCCAAGCGGATAAACAGTCCGTGAGGCGCGTGCGGTTCAAATGAGTTTCGTTCCGCTTTTGGCACATAAACATTATCGAACATTTATCGAACTCGATATTGATATTGAGTATTGACTCGATATTGATATCGAGTATTGATGATATTGACTCGAACTTGATATCGTTTTATCGAGAAATTATATCGCGATAATGAATGAATGAGCATATCAATTTAAGACGTGGCTAAATGTAATTTATAACCTTGTATGAAAAATCCGGACGTTTTTATGACTTTTTATGGCCTAAAATTCTTATTATTAAAGTTAATGACTTACATACATCAAGAGTCTTTCCCCCTGAAATGTAGAAATCTAAATGGGTGAATTTAGAAGAAATCTACAGATGCAAACAGTTGGAGGATAGTAGGTTTAAAACAAACTCCATCTAAATGTGGATTTTGAAGGTTTTATTTGATGAAAATGATGATACGTACAGTCCTCCCTCAAATGTGAAACTAAGTCCATGTCACCATCAGGTGTATCAAATATATACTTGATTGAAACTAGTAGCATAGAAAACATGCACATTGTGGCATGGTTTCCTTTGCAACTCTATAAACCCGAATACTAAGGAGATCTTTTGAAAATGAAACAATTGCGCGAGTTTGAGGAAGATACAATTAATTAACTTTTTTAATAAATTTTTTAAAAAGTCAGTTGTGTTAATATACTTTTTTGTTTAAAAAAAGTAAAAAATAAATAAATAAATAAAAAAACGTAATTATGAGAAGTGCCCTTTTTTTCACTTGAGCCCCTGCCCCTCAAAATGTCTGTGCACGTCCCTGCAACCCAGTAACGTAAGACTTTCGTTCATCTTCGGAACACAAATTAAGATATTTTTGATTAAATCTGAGAGCTGGATCACTCCTCCATAGGCTTCTTAAGGGATCGAAACTGGCCGGCCCAAAAGTTATTAAAGACATCGTTAAAATAGTCCGAGTGACTACAGTGGCTCAATCTTAAGTTTATCAAGCGACGAGAATACTTTTTGTGCGCAAAAAAACAAACAAAAATAACGACTTTATTCAACTATTCATTTCCTTCTCTGTGGGCCTCGAGAAAAGCAAAGCTTCTAGGTTGTACGTCACACACATGACCAGCGTCGGCCAATAGTGAGCCTACGTGTGACGTGCAACCTAGAAGCTTTGCGTCGTTTCACTACGTGAAATCTCGAGGCCCACAGAGAAGGAAATGAATAGTTGAATAAAGTCGTTATTTTTTTTATTTTTTTTTGCGCACAAAATGTATTTTCGTCGCTTGATAAACTTAAGATTGAGCCACTGTAGTCACTCGGACTATTTTAACGATGTTTTTCATAACTTTTGGGCCGGCATGAGGGTGAGTAATTACTGACAGAATTTTCATTTTTGGGTGAACTAACCCTTTAAGGCTAGTCTCAGACTAAAATACATGTTTGAGCTGTTTTAACTGAAAGCAACTTGCACTGGTGTATCTTAAAATATATCAGTGACATTGTTTTGTCTTAAGATGCACACCAGTAATGTGCATTTTGATATTTTTTTCCTAAGGCACATTTATAAAAGCCACTTAAATGTCCTAATTAAACTAAGGCCTAATCCTGCTGTCTGTGAAACCAGGTCTTGCTGTTCCAACATGAAGCCTTGCTTAAAATATGTTTGGTGGTTAATGTTTTTCTTTAACCAGGAATTTGACCAAATCTTTCTTTACTTTTCAATAAATATTTTTTTATTGAATTTATTAATATTGAATAAAAGTAAACGGGTTTTCCCTGGGTTAAAAATGGTCTTCGGTGGTGGCTGACAAACATTGCCATCCACACACAGTACAAAGTACGCTACCCATGTGAACTGTGAGCCCAGTACTGACAATAAATGCAAAGAAACAGTTTGTTATAATAACTTATACTATTTATTCATGAAAAAAAAAAAATCCCTGTCAGAATGGATCATAAAACAAAGTTTCAATCTGCTGTTATAATCACTGGAGCTGACAATTACAAGTACACAAAGCTGTGCTCTTGATGAATCAGTCTACACTGTGCAGTGAATCTCTTATTGTCATCATGTTTATACTTTGTTGATTGTAATGAAAGGATTCGCGAGTGTGCAGAACTCATTCTGAACGAAAACTCTGCTGTTCTGAGCGCTGTTGAGCGGATTCTGACGAACTTAAACATCTGATTGGCCATTATGTTCACAAGCTCAACAGATACGTTTGTGATTGGCTACAAAGACACGTACGTTGTAAATAGAAACCTTTGACGCTCTTCAGAGCACAAACACTCGCAGGAGCATTTTAAAGCAGACGCTATCATTGGGTACCAGAACTGGAGATATCGTCACATTAAATGATCAAATCTTTTATGGGAAAACGATTCATGAAACCCTATTTAAAATTATGCTTTGCTCAAATAGTAAAAAGATTTTAAATATTCAAAAAACATGAATTTAAAACCCGATTTACTTTCTAAATGCACATTATTGGCCTTGTTTCCTGCAGACATCACCAAAATCCTGCTTTTGAATGCCCTGATCGGACTTTGACTGATTCTCCCCTCTTTTATACAGGTTGACCGTTACCGCATGAAAAGTGGCCGTCACATCATTGTTTTGGCTGAGGGGCGTCTGGTGAACCTGGGCTGTGCCATGGGCCATCCGAGCTTTGTGATGAGCAACTCGTTCACCAACCAGGTTCTTGCCCAGATTGAGCTGTGGACTAACACCAGCAAATACCCACTGGGTGTATACTTCCTGCCAAAGAAGGTACAGTATCTTCATGTAGACTCTACAAATACAGATGCTGTAGAGTCATATTGTCTGTAAAGCCAGGGACACACCAAGCCGGTGGTTGGGCATCATCGGACCGTTTTTGAGCATGGGCCTACTTCGTTTTTTCAGGTGTGTTGCGCACCGTTGTCTCTAGTCGGATGCCATTGTTTATTTTTTGGCAGATTCAACATGTAGAGTTGGCGTCGAACTCTGATTTGGCTGTTCAGTTTCGCAAACGAGTCACTGCATGAGAATACGAGCAAAAGTGATGCAAGCAAAGTCAAGACGGCACAGACAGAAGGCTGTTGAAAGTGAATTTTACGTCATCTTACCTGAGCATTCCACTGCGCAAATGATTTCAGAATAACATGAGCGGAGTGGAATAAAGAACATGATCAGCATGATTGATATTCAAAATGTTAAGCGCTGATTTATGTTTTGTATACCTGCAGTCTTCGTTTCGCGTCCTTTTTTTGAATTATGACTATAGACGAATATATCTGCTTAAATTGACAGTGATCTCCTTTACATTCAGACGTCAACGCGCGTGCTAGTTGAGTCGCCTGTAGTCCTTTCAGTGTGTTCAAGCACAGATTTTTTTTTTTCTCCGAGGCGACAACACGGTTGGCTTTCATTGGCGCTACTTCTTTGGCATCGGTTTGGTGTCCCTACTTTTTAATATGCACATTATCCATGAATATCCAGATTTTAAGGGTGCTTTCACAATGGGTATTTTTGCTGCGGTCCGAGTGCAATTGTTCCCAGTGCCTCCCGGTTGGTGTCAATTGATTTTATCGAACCCTTGTGCACTTACGTCATCAATAATATGCACGCCGCATAATAGAAAACAGAATGCGGTCAATATATTGTGTTTTTTATGAAGTTGATGCTATCATGCACAGCAGAGTAAACGACTAGGGTTTACTGCATGTGCGTTAGTGGTCAACCAAACTCAGACCACCTCCTTCAGGTACTCTCGGGTTCGGTACCCGGGTCCGCATGACAGCTTTCACATTAGTATTTATTCATGTGTACCGTGCCCCGTTGTGAACTAAACTACCAGTGTGAAAGCACTTAGGGAAGAGTGTTACAAAGCTTGCTTAAAAAACAAGCTGAGAATCTTATCAGATGAAATTTGTATCCACTATACATGAATAAATGAAATGTATGTATTCCTCATTATGTCCTTTGTGTATGTGTAGCTGGATGAGGAGGTAGCTGCCGCACACTTGGACAAGCTTGGCGTCAAACTGACCAAACTGACAGAGAAGCAAGCCAAATATTTGGGTCTGCCCAATGTCGGTCCCTTCAAACCAGACCACTACCGCTACTAAGTAGCTTTGACCAATCACAGCTTCAGCTGTGGATGGGGACGGACTACACAATCATTGGCGGTTACCTTTGCAGCTATAATAGTGCTTAACTTGTGGACACATTGTCACTGTCTTATTTGCATTCCTTGTTTTATGATACGGTTATATTAAAAACAAAACACCAAATTCTTCCATTAGGTCAGTTATTTGATGCCCCTCAGTAAATTAATATTCTGACACGTTTTGCTTCTTCCGTGTCTTACTCTGAAGTGATTCCAGTTTGTCAGGTAACTATGAATTGAGCGAGGCACTGCCTTTTGGCCATGCATACTTTTGTAAACCTGTTAAAATAATGAAAATGATGGGGAAAAATCATTTTTCTGTTAGCAAGCTGTGAGTTTGAGTGGGTCTGGGTAGCTCGTCCTGTTTCATTACATCCACTCATGAAGACCTGATGAAATAAATGTGGTATTTGACTGTAACATGCCTTGTTTACTTGTTAATCCTTTATTTCAGCACAGCGTTAGGAGACTGTGGTTCTCAACTGGTAAAATGCATAAAAATGGGTTCAATATTTATATAATATAATTAATCAATATTGCTATTGCTCATACATGTGATTAGGAATCTGAACAAATGCTAAAGCCCACGTATTAAATTTAACCATGTAAATTGTTTTGTTACATACATGAATGATTCCTCAAGGAATATGATAAAATGGACAAAAATATCTATACTAGCTCATTTTTGGGATTGGGACTTTCCAGTTGGGACTAGTACAGCAACCACTTACCAATGCCATAACCACACAGAACACTCTAGTAACCGCCAATGTTGTCGTTTTTGTTAATTGAATTGAATCCAAAATAAAATTTTAATATTAGATTCAATATAAAATTATATTAGAAATGTTTCCTTGGCAACTATTGAACAAGTGTGAAGCACTGAAATGACTGAAACTAATAATAATAGATTAAAATAATAAAAATAAAAGCACATAAAATTACACTGTAAAAAGTGTTCCGTTCACTTATTAATTTTAAGGCAGCGTGTTTACTAATTTTTAAGTAAAAACTTCGTTTAATCAAAAAAAATTAAGGAATGTGGAATTGTCAAGTTCATTTTTTTTAATTAAGCATTCCGTTTATTTACTTTATTTATTTACTAGGTTTACAAAAGAATTAAGTGAACTGAACACTTTTTACAGTTAAAGGGATAGTTCACCCAAAAATAAAAAATTCTGTCATAATTTACTCACCTTGCATTTATTCCAACCCTGTAGGATTTCTTCTTCTGCTGAGCACAGAGGAAGATATTTTGGAGAATATGGGTTACCAAACAGGCCCAGGGCCCCATTGACTTCCATAGAATGGATATATATATATATATATATATATATATATATATATATATATATATATATATATATATATATATATATATATATATATATAAATATAAATATAAATATATATATATATATATATATATATATATATATATATATATATATCTTCCATAATAAATATATATATATATATATATATATATATATTTATTATGGAAGTCAATGGGGTCCATCAACTGTTTCATCTTTTGTGTTCAGCAAAAGAAAGAAATTCATACAGGTTTGGAACAAATGCAGGGTGAGTAAATGATGATAGAATTTCCATTTTTGGGTGAACTATCCCTTTAAAATAAATTTAAAAAGAAAACTGAAAAATATGAAAATAAAAGCTAACGTAATATATTAAATAATACTAAAATTACACATTAAAGAACACTTTAGCAACAGCCTGGCATTGCGCCAGTGGGTTTTGCACTGCTCTCATTTAGTTCAGAATTCACTTTAAACAGTTGAAAAGAAGTAGACAACATAATTCCTAAAATGGATAATTTATAAGGAATTATGGTTTGGGTTGAATATAAACTTTTCCCTTCTAATTTTTTTCTTTCATGACTGATTGTATTAATGTCAGATTCATGTGGTTTGTAGAAATGTTATTTCAGATCTTGGCAACCTAAAGTCATCCTTGAGGCTGTTTAACAAAAATACTGCATGAGTGTTTACTTAAAGGGATAGTTCTCCCAAAAAAATTAAATTTGGTCAATTATGCACCCACACGTCATTCGAGACCTGCTTCCTTCTCTGGAACACAAAAAGCAGATATTTAGAATGGTCACAATGACTTTTTTTTTTTTTTTTTTTCGTACAATGAAAGTCAATGGGGTCCAATGTTGTTTGTACCCACTGACATTCAAATATCTGCGTTTCACTGAAGAAGGGAAGTCCTACAGATTTCTTTGTTTTTGCTTCTTATTTTGGGGTGAACTATCCGTTTATAGCGATCCATCTAACATAGTCTTGGAAATACTTATTGCAGTAGGATTTTTGGATTACATTTCATGTAATGATTCTTCCAGTGTTGTGTAATGTGGAGTATCTGATGTTAAACAGAATAATTTGAAGCGATTTCAATTTCAAGAATCTTCACATCATTTGACATTTCCCATAAATAATCTTAATATCACAAGCCAAAACATATAAAATTCTACTTGTGTCCAGTAACGATTCCTTGATGAAAAACATCATAGGCATTCATCGACCGACATGTGACAATGACAACTCCCAGAAGAGAAAAGAGGCCGCAATATGCAGTCGGGAACCCAAATTGGAGCCATAAAAAATAGCAGAACCGCTGTCAGTACCGGGGCCTAATGAGCCCAAACCGGTTTATTCAGATAAGCAATGACTTAACTCAGGCTGCCATACTAGACACATGGTTTCAATCTAATTTAGCCCTTATTAGTTGGAAACTGTAAAATAGTGTAGTTAGTGCTTGTGGGGTAAAAGAGTAGTCTGTGGGCCATTAGATGTACTGGACCCCTAAAATACCCGGAAAGTGTCCCCTGAGAGACATAACAAGGGCCTATCTCTTTGAGTTTTTCTTTTTCCTCTCCTCTCTTGCCCATTGCTTACTTTCAATGTGAACCAGCTGTGGCCTCTGGAGCCTTTAGTGTCACCCTGTGTGTGTGTGTGTGTGTGTGTGTGTGTGTGTTTCTTTTTTTTAATGTTTGTTTTATTACCTGTTGGACCGATAATTATTCAAGGTGTTTGGAACTGGTGTCTTTCCACTTTGATCTTGCTTTGCATAGTCAGTTGTTGTCTTTAAAGCAAGACATTGTAAGTACCTAGTTGCATTATATTTAAATTTTATACTGGGTAGGCCTACAGTCAGTATATCCAGTGGTGTGCCATGCTATACGTCATTTAAAACTATTTAAACAGCAATTTGATAGTTCTGTTTATACATGCAGCTTATTAAATAAGAGACTACATCGAATATAGCCTACATTGTTATTTTTAACGACTAATTAAAAAAGATATTTCACTTCTAATAGTCACAAATCACAAATAAGTGAACGAAGTAGTGAAAAAAAATGGTACTCACCTAAACTTTATAAAAAAAATCATGCGTAAAAATCCTCAAGTCATATCTGTAAATGTATGGGTTACTTTGCTTTTTTTTTTCTTGCTTTTTTTTTTACATCTTAAGGTCTTCGTTCTGTCACGGGTCTTATTAGGGCAAGTTGTCACATAATTTGCAACATGTCAACAACTAAAAAGCGCAAAAAAAAAATTCATGAATTAAATTTGATAGACAAATTAAAAATGTCATTTTATTTATTTTAATCTATAAATGTTATTTATAAATTTTTACAATTAAAAAGCGCAATATTCTGCTACGTTCCTCAGTTTACAACTAAATTGGATATTGACCCTGAATATTTCATTGTTTGAATCAAGATAATGATATAGGCCTAGACATTGCATCCACAATTTAAATATACATGAATGTAGGCTACAGATATGTGCCATGTCTAAACATCGACCCAATAACTAACTGTTACTAATCTAGTTCGCCTTTCAACAAAAATATTCCACATTAGCCTTAGCGTTAGCCTACAACCTATTATACACAGACAGTTCGCTATTATTGCTATCTGTTTTTGCTTTCTGTAAAAAAAATATGGGATCTTATTTTAAGCTCTCTGAATCTTTCGTTTAATTTATTTTTATTGTCTTTTATTTATTAATGAGAGTGGTTGCGGTTGACGTAAACGCGACAAAACTATTTTGGCGGCAATTGTGGTGTTTTTTGTTGTTGGTTTAGTGCACGTATAGGCTATAGCAGCTCAAACAGGTTACGGGCGCTTTAACGTTGTTTTTTTTTCTCCATAAAGTGCTTACATCACAAAAGTGTTCATAAAAACATTAATAATTATTTTCATTAACGTGAACCTTTTAAAATACGTTTATAAGTAATTAAAAGTTGACTTTGGTAGTCACCCAGGTGGCTCTGCTTTATTCCCAGACGCTTCTGACTAGCTGTCGGTTTATCAGGCCTTGAAATCTCCGAGAACTCGGATCGCGTTCATGATTAGGCTATTTGATGGAGTGCATAGATAATCGGTTGTCATAATCCCACAGGGTTTTATAAACAAGCCTTTAAGATAGGGACAGTCACATGATCATCCGGATCATGATGGCTCCTGTCAGAGAGTGTTCAGCATTTCGGGTATCCCATGCGGCAGTAGCAGACGGTCTTGAAGAGGCGGCAGTGGCAGAAGGCGCACTGATCGCAACACACCGCGCTCGGCGTCTTACAGCTGCTCCACAGCGGCACACAGTTCGGCGGCGGAGGAGGTCTCTTTATTCGGTTGCTTAATTTCTGAAAAGTATACAATTAAAACATGCATTTATATGTGCTGCTTCAGATTGGGACAAATTATGTCCCAGGGTTATTTAAAGTAACATAAAAATAAGCCGGAACTCATTCAATAACCTATGAAAATTATTAGCATAAAAATAACAAATTACGAGCTAGGCTCCTCCATGTCCAACGAAACGAATGCGCCTCTAAATAAACTTGGTGTCAGAGAAGAGCTTGACGTGTGATGTGTGAAGAAAACAAACAAAAAATCCAGGTAAATATCAAGCTGTCATTTTGACATATTTATTAAAATAGTAGGCTATGTAATTGTGTACATTTCCAGCTATGAAATTAGCCTCATATAATAACCATATATTATTTCAATAATGTTCAAAATGTAGACTAATTTTCACCACAGAATGTCAATAAACAATAGGCCTACATTCGAAATCTATTTAAAATATTTTAATAATCATAGATAGATGAAATGAATTAAACATCCTTACTGAAATATTTGTATTATTATATGGGTCAATGTATTGAAGCTATTTATATATCAGTTAATTGAATATATAACATTACAAACCTTTTTTGGTTTCTTTTCCAGTTTCTTGTTCTTCTTAGGTGTTTTTGAAAGCCCTTCGATAATGGAAAATACAAATAAATTTGAAAGTGGAGGTTTTAAGTTTCTAAATAAGCAACAAAGAAGTGTTAAACAAAGAATGATACATTTATTTCCGATGTGAGTTTAAAATTAAATAGCACTTGGCTAGAAGTTTGTGTTGACCATTTGTAGCAATTTATACTTGATTTATAATGGTGATCATTTGTTTTGTATATTATTTTCACAACTTGTGTTCGAGAAAGAAGGCTTACCGACTATGAGCACAGGAGGTGCATCTGTTTGGTTTTTGACTTGTAAGCTGATGGTTGTTTGGTTGGAGCTGTATTGTTCCTCCATAAGCATGTGTGTGTGTACCGTGACACAGCAGGCTAAACAGAGCAGCAAACAGCACAGCAACAATGACGGACTCATATTAAGACTTCACCCTGCACAAGACAATAGTTTAAAAACAGAATCATAAACAAATCATAAAGTGCTGATTCAGTGATGATCACACACATAAACAGAATTAGACATAACAGGATGTTTAAACTTTGATAAAGGCCTTTAAATTCTTACCTAGCAATTTTAAAGCCCAAAACAAACAAAAACAAATCATAAAAGTAAACACGAGAGAGAACTAGCCCTTATGAATTTGCTTTTAAATTTATCCAAACTGAAGCTCAAATGGTTGTGTATGCACAGATGTTAGACATACAGCAAACATATTAATTTGTCATCATATAACATCAAAACATTTACACACTATAAGAAGCAGTTTAATGCTAGTTAGAATTATAACCTCTAGATTTTGCACAAAACAGTCATTTTTATAGGCCAAATAGCAAGTAAAACTAGGACTGTTGCAGTTAGTTCAATAGTCCTGCAACCGAGTTTTTCAGTTTTCACAAAAATCACATACTCAATTTGAATATAAAATTTGTTTACGTCTAGTTCCAGTGTACAGTATTTCTAATGGCATTTGATCACAGTTTATCATTTCTCACCATGTTTAACCTCCTTTTTTCTGACAATCTCTTGTTTTTTTTAATATCCTCTTTCACAGTGCATTCAAAACTGATACCCAAGGTAATCTTCAGGAGTCTGTGTTTAAACTGACCTGTCCTGGTGAGTAATGGGACACCCTGTTTCCCTTTTTGTGGCTGGCTTGAGATATTCCCCGCTCCCCTGCTGAGACTGAGAGAGAAATGTCAGACAGACTTTTTAGTCAGGAAATTCAGAAAGGGGCGACATGATAAAATTAAGCAGGGGCGGATCCACACGGCCAGACGGAGCAGAGGGAGAGAGAGACAGACCTAGAGAGAGAGAGAGAGAGAGAGAGAGAGGGCTAAGTGTATGTGTATAGGCTAAATAGTTGGATGAATAAGTATTTGGACTGTAAAAAAAAGTTGCTTATAAATGTGTGAATGTCATAAACACATAATGTCACACTGTTGTCTGAATGAAAATAAATAAACTGTGGATATACAGTTGAAATTAAAGCATTTGTCAGACTTTATTGGAACATGTTCATATTTAATGTGATGAACTACCTGTGTGAAATTCAAACACCAATGAAAATGTACTCTATGAAATATTGCAGTATAAATAATTTATCCATGAACATCATTATTTTATTTTATTTTATTCAGTGCCTTCCTTGTTATCTTTAACTCTCTGGGCCTCTTTGGGCAAAGTTGACCAATTTTTTTTTTTTTTTTTGCTTCACCAGAATAGGATGACATTTGTCGCATTAGCTATGTGAACTCACAAAAAAAATCAAGGACATGATTCAGATATATGTTAAAGGGTCGAAAAATAAAAAGTAAAACTTGGTACCTTGCGGTCAAAAATAACCGACATAGGAAATGAATATGAAAAAAAAAAAAAAAAATTAATACGAATCTTTTGGTGGAACAAACTATGATGCAAAAAAAAAAAACCCCTCCAAAACATTTTGAGTGCAAAATAGACACCCACACATTTGAACTAGTGTAATTATAATTGGAGATTTGTTGTATGCATGCATTTTGTCCGTCATCTCAATACAATGGCGTTTCACGACACTTTCAACAACAGTTTCTGCCCAGTATCAAGATACTATATTAAAAGTGAGATAGCCAGTGGGGAGAACCTTTGACCAGCAGAATACGCTAATTACTTTTCAGAGGTTAGAGTTAGTCCACTAAACCTTAAATCACATTTGGTTTCATTTTCTCCTAAGAGTTCATTTTTAAGTGACTTCTGACCTTCAAGCAAATGTTCGTAACAAAATCACGTAGGCTATTTGTAAACATTGAATCTCCCAAGATTCTTCCAAAGAGAATGCCCAGATGTTACAAATAGATTCAAAGGGAACTGATGGTGTGCGATAAACACTGGAATGAGCTGATTATATCTGCTTTAGGCTGCAATAGACGAGCCCACCCACAGATACAATACTGCGCCAATATATTTGCTGGGATGAATGTAAAACATTAAAGGGTTAGTTCACCCAAAAATGAAAATTATGTCATTAATGACTCACCCTCATGTCGTCCCAGGCCCGTGAGACCTCCGTTCATCTTCGGAACACAGTTTAAGATATTTTATATTTAGTCCGAGAGCTTTTTGTCCCTCCATTGAAAATGTATGTACGGTATACTGTCCTTGTCCAGAAAGGAAATAAAGACATCATCAAAGTAGTCCATGTGACATCAGTGGGTTAGTTAGAATTGTTTGAAGCATCGAAAATACATTTTGGTCCAAAAATAACAGAAACTACGACTTTATTCAGCATTTTATTGTCTTCCGGTTCTGTTGTCGATCCGCGTTCAGTGACGCTGGTGACGTAAGACGCTGCTGACGTGTATATAAAATAAAGAATATCCTGTTTTACTGAATTATGTCACATTACAGAAGGAAAGTGAGTTGCGAATGCTGTTTTATGTTTACTTTAAATGATAAAATCGGATGTAAAAAAGGAATCAATCAACCATCAATCCATCTATCACATTTATTTCTATATAGCACATTTTAAAACAACACATGTTGGCCAAAGTGCTTTACATACCACCTAATATATTCATACAACCCACATGAGACCCAAGTCCAGAACAAATACAAAATGACTGTAAATGAAATACAGTTGAATGCAAGTGAGAGCAAATAGTCTTTAAGTGAGATTTCAAGACATCAAGAGAGGTACGGGATCTAATAACAGGATCTAATCATGTCAGTCTTGATTTTTTTTATTGTTTTTTGGCTGGCTCAATGGTGGTGACATTACATTCACAATGCCAATGTATGCAAGTATACACTAGGAATAAGTCGATCGTTTGCTCATCTGGACGCTGTCAGAGACTTGGAAACGTTTGTCAAATCAAAGCCATGGAACTGCAAGTGGGGAAAGTCAACCAAGTGAGTGCTGAACATTGCTCTCAGGGGATTTGGGAAACCTTTGAATTGTCCAGAATGAAGAGATGCCGTAAATGTGGGTTTGACAGGGTCTGGACAAGCTAAGAAAGCATGTGTTTCTCAGCCACTTATTTTCTGTCATTAACAGCAGTTTTCTGGGCTGCTTTAGCTTTAACGCTCCTCCAACCTTCATTAGAACTTGTACGAGACTGAAAATTGTGCCAGCCGCGTGTAAAAGCATGCGATCCAAACCAAAACATAACCGTCAAGGCCAATGATTCTAATAACAAAAAGTAGTGTTTTTTCACCATCTATTCTATAGAATATATTCTCTAAAAAACAAATCTTAGTATCCTATCCTATTTTTGAAACATTGTTTTATTATGAAAATGTTATTTTCCATACAACAAAAATGCATGGTGATCACTGGGTATCAAGTTGGTAGTGATTTTGCCTTTTTAATTAAATGTAATTTTTTAAAAGAGATCAAGTTTTAAACCGGTTTTTCATTTGCACGCTAGCTAAACATTAACATGTCTCACATCTATCTCGATCTGATTCACAAATGGCATGTTATATAAGCTTGGTGATAAACTGGTTGTAGTCAGTTTGATTCAAATAAAGTTATATAATAAATGACATTATAAAACTATCATTCTCTTCCTCAGAACAATAGTTTGGAGCACATGGTTCTACTTTTAATGGTACAGTGTTTAACATGTGATTTATATGAACAGATTTTCAGAACAGAATCTTGCCTATTTAAAATGATTTGCAGAATTTGTGATTTTTTCTTAATGCTTTGTTCTCTGTAACACTTAATAATTCATTCTTGTTCCTTATTTAAGGCATATTTTAACTGCATATTCAATAGATGTAATTTTTCTTTTATTCATGCAGATTATTTTTGTATAACCGATTGTTTAAAATTTTAATGTCTATTCAAAAAATGTGCTGTGCACATGATTTTAAAAAACGCAAAATTAGTTAAATATGTAGGCCTATTTAAGTTTCACTGCACAGTTTGTTTGATTCAGGACTTTGGTTTGATAAACAAATTAATTCTGTTGTTAAATCATGTTTCTTTCATTTATGACACCTTAGACAATGTTAAATCTTTTCTCTCTTTGAAGAACTTTGAAATATTTATTCATGCGTTCATTGCTTTGCATCTTGATTATTGCAATTCACTTTATTATGGAGTTAACCATTCATCTATTGAGTGTCTACAAATGGTTCAGAATGCTGTGGCTCGGCTGTTGTCCCGTAGTCGATATATTTGATCACATTACTCCTAATTTAATTTCTTTGCACTGGCTACCGGTTAAATTGAGAATAGAATGTAAAATTGTAGTTTTGGTTTTTAAATCAATAAAAGGCCTAGCACCAGGTGATCTTTCTGACATGCTACGTTCTCACCTTGGATTGCTCTCTGTCCGGAGGTCTAAACACATGGGGCCGAGCTTTTGCGATAGCAGGCCCTAAACTTTGGAATAGCCATTCCAGTATTGATCCGAACTGTGTCATCTCTCTCTATAACTCACTTTTACTATTTGATGAATTATTTAGTTTTGTGTACTTAATTCTGTTTGCTCTTATTGATTATAAAGCTCTGTACAGCACTTTGGTCAACCATGTTTTTTGTTTTGTTTTTGTTTTTTGAATGTGCATACTTTATTAATAAACAATGAATGAATGAAACCAAAAATGAATCACAAACTCACAAACATTTTAATGAATAAGAATTTGTGTCGTTGTTATAATAAATGAAATAAGCAATAATAATAAAAAAGCATTTTAATTGAGCCAATGTGATTTTATTTTTGTAAGTCACACATTTTCACTGAAATACGAGATTTTGTAAATAGACTTATTTTTTAATAGTTTTCCTTTGCCGTTTATAAGATAAAAGAATAAACTAAAACAATATTCAATTGTTAGAATGAAGTGATATGAAACAGAAATGCCCACATAACTGAAAAGACATGGGACATTTAAGAACTGACACCAATTATACTGTGATGCGAGATTCGACATGTGTTTCCATTTGTTGAAGCTATTATGTAGTTTGGTAATACCATGGGAGAAACCTTTGATTTTACTTTTAGTTTCAAAGCCATATTCCTATCCAGTTTCTGAAATCACAGAATCTCTGAGATCAGTGAAAAGCTGCCCATCATGCATTTAAGTGCCCACAGATTCTAGTTCGCTATATCTGTCAACCTAATTTAAGGTTTTCTCGCTATTCTCCGATGCCTGACACGTGTATATTTTCAGTTTCACCAGTGCTAACGCTATACATATAAACTTGAAATGGGCCTATAATGAAAATAAGACGTCTCGGCATCAGTGTTTTGATTAGTAATGTGTATAGTCTAAAAACAAGGCTGAACTTCTAGAGAACTAAAGTAACAAAGAGATGTATTACATGAGTGTTGCAAAATTGCAAATGCATTTTTAAAGGTAATGATCCGGTTTTGTGAACATTTAGCCTTGACACTTTTCTGGCTGTTAAAAAGCCCAAAAGAGGACCTCGACCTTCATGATAAAAGCAACACAAATCAAGACAGAGAGAGACACACAGAGAGAGAGAGAGAGTCAGAGGGAAGGAATAAGACATTTACCTTCTGCACGTATTGGATTTTCTTGTCTGTATTTCTGTCTTCCCTCCCATGCTCAAATAGCATAAACTACTTATTTCCAAAGCAGATTTACACATGAATACATTTTCTTTCACTTCACTTCACAGCTTGTGGCAAGAGTGCAACAGCTCTTTTACCGGGGAAATCCAGCAGCTCAGAGCAAATGCAGTATGGAGAATTAGCAGTGATCCACCCTATACACCCTGAAAATACTGCTGATCCACTGCTGACCTCTATATCTAGCATCTATACTGTCATTATATGTTGCATTTAGGGGATCAAGCTGCGACTCTTACTCTTGATACAAACTTTAAAGCCTTAAGCTGCACAACAGAAATCAAACATTAAACAACAATTTATTAGACTTTCAGCAAAGGGTTTGAGTTAAAAATATCTTAATTTGAGAGAGTTTTGAACTATAGGCCTAGGTGTTTTTAACCCTTTTAAAACCCTATTGTCTATACCATTAGACAATAGAAAATAATCTCATATGATAATTATATATTTTTATACAACATCATATATAAAAAATATATATAAGGAAATGTTGCAACTCATATACAAACAAGGTGTTTAGGAGAGTAATGTGGTTGTTATAGCCTACAGGAAACCCGTTTTCTTTTTACCTTTTTACCTCGGGAGCTGTTCAAGTTCACATTTATGTGCTCTATGATTAAAAGTAACATTGTAAAATTACATTGTTGTCCAAAAGCAGACAGGAAAGGAGGAAGCAGGGTTTAGCTCTCTGGGAGCCAGGAATCCCACCGCAATTTTAAACAGATTAGAGGAATAAAATGGTTTGCAAGCCAGTATGAACATAAAGATAAGAAGTACCCTGGGTTCAACTCTGGAGCAAGGGTTTGAAGATATTGTGTAGATTCATAGAATGTGAAACCCTCCAGATACCTCCTCAAGCCATGTTAGAAACCAATGTGAGCATTGTTTCCCAAAATTTACTGTAACTCTTAAGAGTCTTTCTTCCAGCTCACTCATTTGTTCATGTAAACACTCTCAAGCTTGTGTCAGCATGAAGGGTTTTGGTTCATGAGCTCCAAATAATCTGCGAAAAGGCCCCAAACAAGACATGAAGGGACTGGGGAGTCCTGTAACTCCTAACTGAGAGTCGAAGTCACACATTTCTGTGTGAAAACATCTCTGTGCCACAATTGTGTTAGTTAAATATAGTAATTTTAAAGTTTACAAACGTTGAGAAAAAAGGGCTATATGACTCTCTGGTCTCCCCTACTTAGATTGGCAGGTCAAAACTACAACTTCCATCATGCAATGTGCCTAGGCCAACCTAACGCGCATGCGTACGGAGCTCCGCCCGGACTGTCGCGAGCGACTCGCATATCGAGTAAAGGTGTACTGTGAAGAATAGTCTATTATCACGCTTATTTTCTTCTTCTTGCGTTTTCACAACAACCCGAAACCATGTCAGGAGACGAGGTTAGTAAACAATCGTTGTTTTAAAAAGATTTTTTGTTAATTTATGTTTAATTAGACATTCAAAAGAGAAGGACAATTGGGCCTACTAGTAAAGGCTGTGAGGAAACATGTGCACAGCTCGTCTTTTCTAGATCTTTTTGTCATTGTCAGCTAACGTTAGTTAGATAGTAAATATTCTACGCTTCTTTAACAGTCTTGTCATTTTATCGACAAAAGGTAATATTGTACCACCATGGAAAATTGTGGAACATGATAACATGTTGTTATTTTTTTAATATATTTTTTTACATTTACCATAGTAATACAGGCTAGCGTTAGTTGGACAGGTATTGGGGTAACGTTACTACCGTTGTTTGGACGAGGTAATAACATGTTATTTTGGACGAGTACTATGTTTTATTAGTCTTTATGATACAACCTTGTTTTTTAGAGATTTACTATGGCACTACCATGTTTTGTTTGCAGACGTTTCTCGGTAATTCTTGTTTTGTGGTGCCATGGTTTCTACAACGTTACTGTGTTTCCAGACACATCATGGTATTCTTGAATAATCATACAAATACCATGCTATATATATATATATATATATATATATATATATATATATATATGGTAATTATTCAATAAACAGCGTTCCATACAAACAAGTACCCTAAAGTAATAAAGTACCAAGTAGCATCATGAGATAAGGAAGTTCTGGGGTAAAAATGTTCTCCTCAGATAGTCCCAGTGTTGCCAACTCTCGCAATACAAATAAGCAACCGCAGCTTCAAAACAAGCCCAAAATGATTTATTATCATCAATATTATTTATCAATATTATTTTTTTATCAATAAATAAGCCTGCAACATATTAAACTGAAACCCCTCTGAGCTTGAATAGCAAAAACAGATGGAATTTTACAAAAATCATTAAATTGTAACAAAGCAGGAAGGCACGCATGTCCTCCGATCACAGTGAGCAGAATAGGTTTGGAGAATGAAAAGGACAAAAAGTGAGTAAAGGCAAGAGCACTAAGGGAGAGCTGCAATATAGGCACATATTATAATAAAATAAATTCAAACCATAGGCCTACCTACTGATAGCATTAGTATACTTGTTTTTTTTATTATAGCCTGTAATAAATACATTGAAAAAATATTTTTAAAATTAGGTGCCTTTCCTCCTTGCACTATCCATCCAGCATGTTTCCTCTCCAGCTCTGTACATCCCTGTTGGTGGCATTGTTTGTTAAAGGGATAGTTCACCCCAAAATGAAAATGCAGTCATTAATTACTCACCCTCATGTCGTTTTCAAACCAGTAAGACCTTCGTTCTTCTTTGAACACAAATTAAGATATTTTTGATGAAATTCGAGAGCTTTCTGTCCCTCCATAGACTGCAACTTATTACCAATTTCAGGGTCCAGAAAGGTAGGAAAGACATCGTTAAAATATATATTTTTTAATTCAGCTCTCCTCGCTGTTCACGTAGTAAAAACAGTGCAGCGCTTCCAGGTTATACGTCAGAACGCTGGCTCATTATTGGCCGACGCTGTTCACGTGAGCACCACGACACATGCGTGGGATGCTGACGCAAGAGCTGGCCAATAATGAGCCTAACCCTTTAAGATGTATTTGTCTACTAACTTCATTACTTGCATTTTCAACGTCAGATGCCTGCACGTTGAACGTGATCTTTCTCCAGTGATGTTGAAGAGGGTCTACAGAACTTGTATTATTGCACTGATTGGCTATTAGCAGTGAGCAGACAGTGTCAATGGATTGGAGAAAACAGTTACCATAAATGTAAAGAAACAAAGTTTTCCTAACAAGCAACCATATTTTTTAAAATAAGCCCAAAAAACCACTACCCGCAAATTTTTTAAAAACATTTTTTTACGCAACTTAGCGTGGATTATTAGCAGACTTGACAACTATGAAAAGTCCCTGCTCGCGAGGTAGTACTTTTTCAATGTTCAGGAACTTTTGGGAGTGGGACTTGGGAACTGAACATGATGATTGGTTGACTCCACGTAGCATTTTATTTCAACCACCAATTTTAAAGATCTGTTGCGGTGCATGCAGTAAGAGTTGTTTGGTGTTCGAATCAGCAACAGGTCATGGTGAAAATAAGTTCCTGGGACAAATTGTTCAGGTGATTTTGGTGGAAACGCGGCTTTTGAGGACTATGTGAATGTACATTTCTGCACCATGGTATATATCAAAGTTGTGTAGTATTACCATGTGATTCCCGTCCAAAGAATTTTCACATTTATTGTCCTGTAATTCCTACGTAATCACATTTGAACTGTTCATTATTCAGATGCTGTAAATGACAACTTCAGTTTTTTTACTCAGATTGATCTGTTCTTTTTGTGCAAGACCAAAAACTAATATGTTTGGGATTATCTAAGAGAGCTTTAGTAGGATTAGTTCTGATTTGTTCTCATTAGGTGATTATTGCTGGCATTATTTTGCCCTTTTTGATGTCTTTTGACAGCCTTTGTTCAATGTCGTGTCATTATTAAACTCCTATTCTCATCCTTCCAGATGATATTTGATCCCACTATGACCAAGAAGAAGAAGAAAAAGAAGAAGCCTTTCATGCTGGAGGAAGATGGTGGTGAGGGAGATGAAGGCCAACAATTGGAAACAAAAGAGACTGAGGCTGACGGGGGCGAGGAGAAAGAGTTCGATCTTGATGAAGATGATGGGGGGAGGAAGAGAGGTGAAACGCATGCCATTCTTTTGTGCATTAGTACTGTTGCTTTTTTTTTCACTGCCTACTTAACCATGGTAGTAAGAGAGGTATAGAGGATAGAAGCTTGTTTGTGGGATACAATCTTGCAATTCTGACTTTTTTCTCAATTGCAAGTTATAAAGGCAGAATAGTGAGATATATTATCTTGCAATTGTGAGAAAAAAAAAATTGAAATAGTCACAACCCGTTTAAATTTTTTGTTTCGTGGTGGAAACAAGCTTCCATAATATAGAGTAGTGAACACAAATCAGTATTATTATGAGCTTTTCCCACCTGCCATTATTTATGGCTAGTGAATGCCTAAATTTCCCTAGCATTTCCTACAAGCCATTTTGATTTTTACAATTCAAATACAATAACAACAAAACACTGTATATATGAACTTGAACAATCACTTTAAGACGGTTTTAAGAGGCCAAAAAAGATCAGCTCTCTTTGTATTTACAAAAACAAGTAACAAATTTCAAATAACCAAAAAGTGAACTTAAATCTTTTTTGTTCAATAATCTAGGAAGGATATTTCAATATTTTTTTGCATCAATATAATAATGAATAGTAATAAACAGCAGTATTTGCTAGGGGTGGGAATCTTTAAGTACCTCACAATTCGATTCAAATCGATTCTTGAGGTCACGATTCTCGATTTTAAATAAAATTTTCGATTTGATATATGAATAGATTTGATTCTAGTTTACTGTTTTGTTACTTTTCCTATTTGACTGCAGTAGACAGTTTAATAGGTCTTGAAGAAAACATTTCACTGAATTAAATGTAAACCTTGAAATGTATTGTTTTTTTCTTCCCCATTTTAGTCAACCCAATATTATAAAACAAATGCTGTTTAAGCTGACAGCAGTCATTACACTTGACTAGCAGTCTTCTTTAATAAAGCAAGGCAGCCCTGAGACAAATAGAGTACATAAATAAAATTCATTGATACAAAAATAAAAACTTTTTTTCTGCGAACTTAAAGACGTAACACTTTATATTTGAAATTTGTGAATTGTTACGAATCGGCAGAACATATAATTCATATGTGGATTGACTTTTTCCCCACCCCTAGTATTTTCCTGTTACATGACGCACATTTGTGTTGAAATGATTCAATGAAATTTGCTAAAAAACTGCATTTTTCCAGTGTAAAACTAGCTAAAGAAATGTAATAGCCACATAAAAAGCACATTTAAAACACTGCTATGTTTGATTTTAACATTGACAACAGAATAATATGCAATATTGTTATTAAATATTTATTGCAAAAATCCAAGATATTTGCTGCTTTGCACACTGAATATTTATTCCTTCTCAGTGAAAATCTTGTGTAATCCAAATTTAAATTTTTCTTTTGGTGATGATTCAGAAACATCAGATGACCTGGATGACTTAAACTTCTTGAACCAGAAGAAAAAGAAAAAGAAGTCCAAAAAAGAGAAGATTTTTGATGCCGAGCTTGAGGAAGGAATGAAGGTCAGTTGATTGTTTGCATATGTATAGTTGTTAAACTGTTAATTGTTTTCATTGCCATAATTGCTTGTCAGTGAAAGATGTGTTGATCATGAAAGCGCAATCTTTCTGTGGACTTGCTTTCCTTTAAAAAATAAATTGATAACTGCGCAATCACATCAGAGTCTTTGCATTTGGAGTTTTCTCTGTTCGTGCCTACCGACAGCTGTTGTCATGCATCGTCGTGAACTAACTAAAGTGCTAATTTCCAAAAGGAGCTGAAGATCGAAACAGAGCCATCAGAAACACAAGAGGATGATGACTTAATGCTGCCTAAGAAGAAGAAACATAGAAAAGTCCGAGATTTTCAAGAGGACACAGACAGTCAAAGCAAGGATGATGGTAAGTACATTACTTCAGTGGAGCGCTTTTTGTAAATAACTGTAATGTTTGCAATCTAATCCCTGTAAAGCTCGAATACAAAACAAACTGTTGTATAAAGTGCTATACAAATAAAGGTGACTTGACTAGAATGATTGTGTGAAAGGTGTCGAAGATGACGACAGTAAAACCATCGATGATATCACGTTCAGCTCACAGACAGGCACTGCCTGGGCCGGATCGGAGAGAGACTACACATACGATGAGGTGAATGGGAGCTTTTATTTCCAGGCTTGCGGAACATGTGTGCATGTTTCAGGTGATAACTTAATAAAGGGCCTGAGACTGCTGCCATCTGGTGCTTTTGTTGGCAGAATAGCTTTTCTCTGCTAACTTCTCTTTTATGCGACATGTTTGGAATTACTACAGCTGGTGTCAAGATGAGTTTTAGTGGATGTATGAAGTTGGTTCTCGTCAAGTTCACACAGGTGTAGTTCATCACATTAACTTTAACGTTTGACAACCAGAACTTGTCACAATACTTTTACACAATGTCTTTGTTTTAAACAATGGCACATATATATATTAGTTGCTATTTTGTTATCTTATGCAAAGACAGCCATATATTAAGTATAGCATAATTGTCCAAGTACTTTTTGTGACTGCCTCTATATTTAATTAAAAAAAAACTTAATATTTAGCATATGCTCTTGAAAACTTTTAACTACATAATCATTGTCATAGAGTTTGTGCACTATGTTCTGAAGACAATGACTGCTCTCAATTAAAAATGACTGAAAATATCACATTATTTTAGCTTTTGAATAGAGTCTTTAACATCATGCGGGAAAAAAATCCAGACATGGTCGCAGGAGAAAAGAGAAAGTTTGTGATGAAGCCTCCTCAGGTTGTCAGGGTCGGCACAAAGAAGACCTCCTTCGTAAACTTCACAGACATCTGCAAACTGTAAGTCAAAACTCAAAATTGTCAAGCTGTTTTATAGTTATAATGAAACTTTTCTTTATGATATTGAGTTTGATTTTTCTTTGAGCAAATGGAAAGTGAGCCATTAATTTTGCCTTTCTGTTGGTCATTTCAATAGCTGCCAATCAAAAATCACATATTTGCAAATGCAATCTTTATTTTATATGGTTCTTAACACTACTTTTTTTCTTTTCTTTTTTTTTCAGGTTGCATCGACAGCCAAAACATCTTTTGGCGTTTTTGCTAGCTGAGTTAGGTACAAGGTGAGTGTATGTTATACTGTTATTGGCTCTTCCCATGAAAGACTACAACTTGGTGTCTTGGGCACAAAACACATGTTTTCATTTCCACAGGAACTATTAGATATGTTTGGTAAAATATTATCTAGCCTAAATTTAACAAGTAGCTAGTTTTCAACACCTGAAATGGCTGTTTCCTGCACCTTAAAATGGTGATTTTTTTTTTTTTGGCAACCATTAAAATATCACAACTGTGTAAAATTTGACATTCTGTTAAACTGATGTTTAATTTATTGTAGTAAACTATTATTAAATTATTACAAAACATTTAGCTGTCTCAATTAAAGTCATCATGAAATCAAAATGGAACATTCTAATTTCTTATAGAGTATTGCAGTATTTATTATAAGTGATTTATCTGTGTACTACCAAATATAAGTGGACCAAGAAGAGGCTTGGCCATAGGGCTGGATATCGTTCAAAAAATTTCGCAACTGATACCTTGTCTTCGATACCGTTTCCTTAATGATAGTTTTTCAATACCAATTTTAACTTCAGTTTTAACAAGAGTACATTACAGATTACCTAAAAAAACCTTTGGTTTTATTTTTTTCAGTTTGTTGACCTTTTTTTTTTTACAGACTCGTATAGGCCACTGGGGGGCGGAATATTTGCCTCACGCTCAAACTTGCCGCAAAGCACTGGCAAAAGTAGCCTAATGATTATGAATGTGTCAGGGGAAAAAAGCAAGGAGACATTTTAATTGTTTATTAATAAACTAGTGTCTTCTGAGTCAGTGTTGACTGCAAAGATGAAGTTGACATTGCTGACTCGTCAACTCTGCAGTTAAAAATGTCACGATACCAAAGTTCCAGTAGTCGGTACTAATACCATTAAAATGTTACGGTTCTCGGTACCAATTTCGCTACCACAGCAAAATCTGTTGGAACTATTTTTCTATTTTATTGAAGTATTTACTTTTTTTTTTTTTGGCAATCTTTATTTATGATGGTAATCATAAGTAAATAATACATATAAACATTGAAGGCTACATGCTGTTTAAAAGTAAACATTGTTTATAATAAGTTCAGCAGAATAAATGTTTAAATGGTCTTTTTGTGGTTTAATATTCACAGACACTAGTTTATATCGGCTATAGTGCTCCTAGTAAAAAAGCTATTCTGGAGCCCTGCGCTTAGATAAACATGGAAGCGACTAAAAGCAGATTCCTATTAGCGGGTACCGGATATACCCAGTACTCTGTACTACCGGCACTACAGAAATGGTATCGTCACATTTTCAAAATTTCAGCAGTCTTGCTGTCGAAGTACCGTTACTTTAGACAACCCTATCCGCAGTATAGTGAACGCGCGCGCCTATGGAGAGAAATGCTACTTTCTTGATTAATCGAAAAGTAATCGAACCCGAAATTCAGACCCTAACCGACATAATTTTCAAAAAATCATTCATTAATTGTAATCAAGGTAAAAAAAGAGAAGTTTTTTAGGTCATGTCATCCAGATTTGAATTGGTTCGTTTAAAAGTAGACATTTCAAGCTTTTTATAGATATATTTCTCATGTGTGTGAGGAAAGTAGCCTATTCTCTGAGTTTCGGTTAATTTATGTGACACGCTCTAGTTCTTCTTGCAGTCCAAGACGGAGCAACTTTCTGCTGTTAAGTTTATTCAGTGCACTGTCAAGTCCTTCATCAGATTTGTCGTGTTGCCGGTCTTGTCGCAAATATTGTATCGTGCGCTGTTGGCATCGAGTCTGGCAAAGTGGTTCCTTTCACTAACCGTTTGCTGCAAAAGAGTTTCTGGCACCTTTTTGTACCATGTTCATATTGTGATGTTCTGTCCTTATGCAATCTGTAAGTGAATTATTATTCTGTTTTATGGAGAGCACCACTAAACCAATGGTTGTTTTTCTTCGTTGATGATCATTAACCTTGCAAAATATCATACCGGTGTCGGGCAAGCTCTCGGTTTATTTTTCCAGTGTCTCTGTGCGACCCTCCACCAGTCACTTCATTTTCACTTTTAGCTGGAGGCGTTTCACATGATGTCAGAGAGAAACCTGAGTCAGTTGAGAAAGGCATTGCTGCTCTAAAGGGAGCGACTGACCCTGTGAATGTTTCAGAAGGCATTATTAAAAGATGACCAGGCTGATTTCAGCACCTCATTGTGTCCACTGACGTGCATCTCAGAAGACACATGAAAGGAAATCCATCGATTTTGCCTCTTGGATATTTACAGAGGATTTTAGTTTTGAAAGAGATCAGTCTTAAACGTGTAGAATTCTTCCTTCTGTTGCTGGAAACTGGAGGTTTGTGATTTGGAAAGAATATTGAAAATAATTGGTGGTGTTTTCCCTAAAATCAAAGTACTGAAGTGCCTTTTTATTTTAGAAATGCTCTAACCACTGTATTGACTTTTCAGCGGGTCCATAGATGGAAACAATCAGCTCGTCATCAAAGGCAGATTCCAGCAGAAACAGATAGAGAATGTCTTAAGAAGATATATAAGTGAGTTTTATACGACTGCTCTTAAACACACAGTAGTTGTGACTCGTAACAAGCCCATAATATTTTTCATGTTTTTTATATTATAATGAATATTTATAGAAATATTTTTTATCTTAAGTGTGTCTCTATATATAGAGTTTGGAAACATTACATGTTTTTAGTGTTTTTGAAAGAAGTGTTTTCTGCTTACCATGGCTGCATTTATTTCTTTTAAAACAATTACAAATTCTTACAAATAAAAAGAGACTGTTTTCTATTTTAATATATTTTAAAATGTCATTTATTCCTGTGATGCAAAGATACATTTTCAGCATCGTTGCTGATTTGCTTCTCAACAAAAAATTCTTATTATTATTATTGTCAATGTTGAAAACAGTTTTTGTTGCTTAACATTTTTGAAACATTATGGCAAGATAATAAAAAAACGGATAGAAATATTAATAATTTTATTCATCAAGGATGCGTTAAACTGATCGTTAAAAAAAGTGACAGAATTCTCTTGTAACTTGATAAATCTCTTTACTGTTTAATAAATGCTTTAATAAAAAAAGTTAATAAATGCTGTTCATTGAACTTTCTATTCATCAAAAGATCCTGAAAAACTTATCACCATTTTAATAAAATTAAGCAGCACGACTATTTTCAACATTGATGATGATGATAATAATAAATGTTTCTCGAGCAACAAATCAGCATGTTAGAATGATTTCTGAAGGATCATGTGACACTGAAGCGAAGCTGAATTTTCAGCATCATTACTCCAGTCTTCAAAGGAAAAACGTACATTTTAAAATGTATTCAAATACAAAAGAGTTTCTTTTAATTTGTAATAATATTTTGCCATTTTGATCAAATAAATGCTGCCTGGGTGAGCATGAGAGACTTCTTTCAAAAACAAGTTTCCAAACTTTTGACCGGTGTTGTGTATATACACACACTAATATAGTTTGTGGAATCCCTAATATATCTTTTTTATATATATATATATATATATATATATTACTGCTCTGCGTTATATGAGGAAAAACCAGAATGATCTGAACTGTTTTTGTCTTGCAGAGGAGTATGTGACATGCCACACGTGTCGGTCTCCTGACACAATCTTGCAGAAGGACACGCGTCTTTACTTCCTGCAGTGCGAGACGTGTCACTCCCGCTGTTCCGTTGCCAGCATCAAGACCGGGTTCCAGGCGGTGACGGGCAAGAGAGCGCAGATGCGTGCCAAAGCCAACTAACGCCTGTCCCTCGACCATCACACACCTTATACGGCCCATCTGAACACATGCACTCCACGGCCAAACTCAACACATCCACTCACACCCAGGTTCCTACGGAATCTCTGCGCTGTTCAGGAAGTCTGAAATTTCAAACCGAGATCTCGGCCATCTCAAGTACAACACTTCATTTCCTTCAGCTCCTTGGAGCTATGAAATTGCCTATGCACACGAAGAGAGGTTTGATTTGTTGGGTCTGGCTGTGGAGCAGTGCTGTGAGATGCGAACCGAGAACACGGAGCCTGGAGGATTTTATGAATGAACTGTTGGTGAAATTTGTTGTCGCTGTATTACCTGCAGAGAAACAATTGAAATAAAATGCATACCAGCTAACGGCAAACATGTGCAGTCTATGTTTCTGGGAAGAAGTATGTCTTTGTCTAGAGAGACTGGATGTGATCAAGAAATGTACTGTATCTTTTATTATGATTCTGTAAACAGACACTAATATTCAGCCTCCTACAGTTTTCTGTACTTTTAAAGGGATGAATATGTTTATTAAACATCTCTTAAAAGAACTGGAATAACACTTTTTTTTTTTTTTATGAATATGACAAATACGAGTTAGCCTGGCTCATTCTCTAAATGCAATGTTTTTTCTGCTCCTGATGAAAATGATTGAATCTAAAGTGTGGATTAAAATTCAAATTGATAGGTATTGTTTATTTTTATTTGTACTCAATAATAACTTTAAAAAGTGAAATGGACATTTTATCTCAACAGTCGTGCATTTTCTGCTTTTCCACAATATTCCTTCAGGAAAGGTTTTTTTTTTTCTTTTTTTTTTTTTTCTTTGCTGCGCAGTTGTCGGAATGGTAAATATTACAATAATGTTATTACAGGGTATTGTGGGTGTTGCCCAGGACCGATAGTTACTCTGAAAAATGTGATGTAAATTTGGTCCTTTTAAGAAAGTTGTGGCTGTAGCCTTTACTGTTGTTCTGTCCAAATGAATCCACCAGTCTGCGCCTGTTTAAGCTCCAAAGAGCCTTAAAATCCCACTGACATAAATCAAGGAAATTTAGTTCGACACCCAGCATTCCAGTGTATTCCTAAACACGTGATACTCTTACCCAAATACCCTCAGTGGAGTGGGCCTCTTTTTGTAAACCAACACAATTGTTTATGTGACTGCTCAAAGTATGACAGCTGAATAAGTGTTTGATAGGTCAGGCAGTCATCCTGGAGCAAAACGCATTGGGGAAAAAAATAAATATGAAACACGACCCTCAGTGTGCACAATCTGGACAGATCAATTTTTTTTCTTAGGACTTTTTCTTATGTTTCTTTACAAAAGGTTCATGGCACAGACTGTATTGGCACTGAAAATAAAGCTGAAGGAGAAATCACTAGCATTGGTAAAATTGCTTCCTAATGCAAATTCTGTATTAATTGGCATATGTTTTAGACCTGGCTATTTTCAATTTTTTTGTTTTGCGTGTTAAAGTAGTTCCAGTCATACAGTTTATATGTGCTTTGGCTTTGATTAAAGTCATTACCAGCTCCAGGACTACACTGGTTAACATCCTCCACCTGGATGAGTAATGAGCATGGTTTTGACTGGCCCGGACATGGCTGACTCTGCTGCATGGGAGGAGACGTGTTGGAGTGCAATAAAAGTAAGTCCGTCTGGCCGCTATGCTTTGAGTTTTGTGCACCTAAAGCTGAACTTATCTCGATAGCGAATGCCAGAGCGTTTAAGTGGAATTTAGTCGTTTATCTATTGCCATATATGTTTCAGTTTGACATGCTTAATGCCTTAAACTGAATGCTAAATTTCTTTGCATCATGTCATTATCTTTAATTATAGGAGCGTCCTTATGTCTCACAGCTTGGACGTCATACTGTAAATCACATGCCAAACTTACTTGGATGGTCCTGAATCCTAACCTCTACTACTCGCATATATCCTTGTTATATAACTCATTATATCTCTCCTTAATTTCCCCCTAAATTCAAAAGCCAGTTGCATGAACAGCCGTTATATCAATACTGTTAGAGGGATATAGCTTAACTAAAAATGAGAATTCTGTCATTATTTACCCTCATGCCATTCTAAACCATTAACTGTAAAAAGAAAAAAAAGACGTCATTTATTTAGCAGAACAACTTAAGAACATTAATAATAATATAATAATATAACAACTAGCAGTTGCCAAAGTGATCAGTCAATCGATTTTTTAGTTCTCAAACCAAACCTACATTTTTATGCAACTGACTTATGGCCAGTCTTTAAAAAAAAAAATCCCTTTTCCTGAAAAGCTTGCCCTTGGCTGTTATTGAGGATCTTTATAAAATGTTTTTACAAATAATAATGATCATAATAGAAAATAATGACTAACAGGACAATCTGAGGTCTGTGTTACTTCTACTGTATTTATCTACATTATCCATAAATAATTAGAAGACTAAAGTCCAATTTATACTTCTGCGTTGAACTCGGTGTACCCTGACGACGTGCACCTCTCCAAAAATTTAACAACGCGTAAAGGCCAATTTATACTTCTGCGTCGGGTGCGCGCAGTAGGTACGGCGTAGCATACGCACAGACGCGTACCATACGCCGTACCCTTCGCCATAACCTGACGCGCACCTCCTCAAAAATGTAACTACACGTCGCGACGACGTGGACCGCAAGATCTGTGATTGGTCGGCTTGGGAGCATCGCGTTTCCTCCTATGTATTTCCGGCGTGTTCTTCTGCACCGCCCGCCATTTTTAAATTCTAAGTACAGCGAAACTGTTAAAAAAACAAAAAAATTACCTTTTCCAAGGTAAATAAGGTAAATTTTTAGTTTTTTTTAACAGTTTCGCTGTACATAAATTGGCCTTCAAAAATGTAACTACACGTCGCCACGACGCGGACCGCAAGATCTGTGATTGGTCGGCTTGGTAGCATCGCGTTTCCTCCTATGCATTTCCGGCGTGTTCTTCTGCACCGCCCGCCATTTTTAAATTCTAAGTACAGCGAAACTGTTAAAAAACTAAAAATTGACCTTTTCCACCTCGATAAGCTCCAACTCCAACATGATCTGCTCTCTTTCAGTCGCCATTGCTTGTAGTAACCTAAACTACAACGCGAGGAATCTAAACACAGTGGAACATTAAAACCCTCCGCCGCCAACTAGCGTTTCGGCGCTGTACTGCAGAGCAACGCAGACCTAAACGCAGAAGTATAAATGCTCATGACGGCGTCGCCTACGTGCGTAGCCTACGCCGTACACTACGGCGTACACTCCTACGCATTTCCGGCGTGTTCTTCTCTCGTTTCTGCCTTTTAGTTTTTGTAATTTGACTGAAATGAACTGTTTTTCCACCTCGATAAGCTGCAACTCCAACACGATCCGTTCTATTTCAGTCGCCATTGCTTGTAGTAGCCTAAATTCAAAACAGCCGCAAGCTCACAGTGGAACATTAAAACCCGCCCCCGCCAACTGGCGTTTCGGCGGTGTAACTGCAGAGCAGGATAGCCATAACGCAGACGTATAAATGCTCACGACGGTGTCGCCTACGTGCGTAGCCTATGACGTAGGCTTACACTACGGCGTACACTCGGCGCAAAAGTATAAATTGGCCTTAATTCGAACCGCTCCCTCGGGTTTCAAATACTGTATGTAATTGCGCGTCAACGCGGACGGCGGACAACTACAGAAGTATAAATGTAAACCAACGCGTAGTCTGTAGCGTAGAGGCTCCGGCGTAGGTCCGACGCAGAAGTATAAATCAGCCTTAACAAAGTGCAGTAAACGTTAAAACTATTTTAGCACATTGTTAGCATGAATTACCATGTTGCTAGCATGTTTTCGCACATTGCTAACACGAATTAGCATGTTGCTATATGTTTTAACAAGTTGCATTCTGGTTGCATGTTGTTAACAGGATTTAGCACCTTGCTAGCATGTTTTATCACGTTGCTGCTAACATGTTTTAGCATATTGCTAGCATGACTTAGCACAGTGTCCTGTCAGTAAGCTTTGCTGGTGATAGACAGCTTTAATACACTATAATTCTTATTGTACAAAAATTTTAACCACCTCAATGAAATCCGATTTTGATCATCCAGTTTACAAAAACCTCAAGACTGATTCAGTTAGAAAAGATATAGCATACCGAGTCAGAACGGTCGAAAGGCCTGAGCCGAGTTTGGTGCCTGGAGCTTGAAAACTCTTGGAGATACTGTTTAAAATGTAGTCTTAGGAGTAGCAGCTTAAATAGTAGATCAGTATGCTGGCATTGTCAAGCCAACATAATAATATGACAACAAATACCAGTTTTGAGCTAGAGATGGTGTGGAGGTGCACCAATATCAAACACGATGCGCTTTCCAGGTCACGGACTTAAAAACAAGATAAGGGATGGTATGTGATTCCCATTCATCTCAGTAACAGTCCAGTTGAGCCGTTACCTGCGATAGCTGGAACTCCAGAAAGTCCTCCAACTGAGAATAAGATCGTGATGAAATGGATAGCGACAGCTCTTTTCTTCAGTACAGCGACGTGCATCAAGAGTGTAATGGATTATCGAAAAAGAAAATATATAGGATTGGGACTTGGTTCTATTAACCGATTTTGAAATGTGCACTCAAATAGTGGAGGCAGATGAACACAAGCTTACAGGGGCGGGGTTTAACTGGACAGTGATTGGAGGAGTCCTGCATACATCATCATAGAGAAGTCTGTCGTTTTCACCGCATAGTTAAGACATTTGAGTAAACATTACAAGGTCAATGTTTTTAAATGAAACATGCATGGATGAATTATTATAATATAATGCCTTTAGATGTTATAGCCTGAAGGAAGTAAAACTTCACACAAATCGTATTGACAGCGTCCACTGGATCGAATCTTTTAGGTAATTGTGTTTTTTCTCTAAACTTTTTGGACCTCCGTGATTACAGCTTGTGGAGGAGTTGCAATACAGTGCGCTTCCCTTTACAGCTTTATTACAGATTGCATTTACTGAAAGGTCTCTCCCATCCAGACCTCACAGGGAGCTGTGCTCATGTTTCAGAAAGTAGAGACTTCTTTAATCCTCGTATTGGCACATCTAATAGAGTGAGAATACATCTCTTGTCTTAAAGGTAAAGATTAGACGAGGTGCTGAGGATTACCCGACGCATCTGCATTCAAACAGGTCAAGTCATCATATTTTATTTACATCTGTAAATATCTCTTGCAGTCTCGAAAGTGCAAGCAGAAGAAATATGCACATGTAATTAAAAATAGCCAACCTTTCTGATTCCGACTGGCATATAAATAAAACGAAAAACATTTCTGGAAAAGCACAAACAGACAGGAAAGAAGGGAGGACAGACACAGAATGAGGGTATTTACATATGAGGCGCCCAGATGTATAGAAAAAAAAGCATGTTAATTGTGTTTTCTGGGGAGCATGAATGCAGAATGTCTGTGAAATTGATCCCCTTTTGTTGTCGCGTGTGTGATGTTGTTGCTCTCAGGGACTGTGGCCTTTTTGTGATGGATTCCTGGTTTAGGGGACGTCATCCCCGTCTCCCTCCTACCAAACAGCTAGTTTAGCTGTCCGTCTCATTGACAGCTGATGCTGGAGTTTGACGGCGCCTGTTGGTTTCAGTGTCTTCCCGCTGAGTCTGTGGTATTAAAAAAGTTTCCAGTCGACAGTGTTTTCCAACTCCCTGCTGTAATAAATACAAGAAAAGGAAGACAAGCATTAAGCTGTGCAAGTGAAGAAAAACAGCTACAAGAGACGCACAAAACAAGGGAGCTGAAATAAATAAAAAGAGCTTGCTGGATCTCAGTCAATTCGCTCATGTGGTTTTATTCTTCCTTTATTCCCTTTAAAGCTAAAAAAATCATTTATAAAAGTATTTTTTTTTGTATAATAAACATGATACAAAATACTTAAAGAAACAATTAATTATTAATTTCCATAAAGAAAGATTTTTTTTTCATTGTGACTATTCTTGACGTGACAATTAAGCACATTCCCCCTCACAATTATATATATTTATATTTGTTAAATATTTGATTTCTTTTATATTGAATACCTGACTCCTGTGCTGAGGTTTTTTACAGTTTAACTGAGATTACCCGATGAGTTCAAACACACACACGTTGTGTTTTCATGTTTTATGGGGACTTTCCATAGACATAATGATTTTTATATAAACTGTATATTCTATCCTATTACACTAACCCTACTCCAAAACGTACCCATCACAGAAAACTTTCTGCATTTTTACATTTTCAAAAAACATCACACGCGCGCACACATACATACACACAAATATGTTTTACAGATTAAAAAAATATATTTTTAACTTAATACAGTTCATTATTACACAGTGTGGGCAGAAAAATGTGCTTGGTAGTCATAAAAGTAATGTAATAATAATTTACATTACATACATACATTTACAATAATTTATTACTGGGGTAAAATATGACCTGGGAGTTTTTTTTGTGTGAGATTCAAACACAGCTATCATAAACTACCCCTGAAAGACGCTCCTAATGCCGATCATTTCATCGAGGGAAGCGTGACCAATTGTTAATTTGTGCCCAATATGATGGTAACTTTGATTTGACCTTTCAGGGCAACTGCAGTTGTTAGAATAAGAGGAGGGCGGAAGCCGTGTTACTGGTGCAATAAAGATTGTGGTCACGCACATTAGCCAGACAAACAGAGCGCTGATCCACAAACAACACACAGAAGGATCAGGTGGAAGCCACCATCAGATTCCACACCGTCCTGTGCGTTTATGTAGCCAAACATATGGCAAAGTTCAGACCGAAACAGAAGTAGAGCCGCTACACCCAGAGCCGGATTAACGCAAAGGCAAACTAGGCACGTGCCTAGGGCCCGATTGGCGGGATGGGGCCCAGACAGAGGGACAAAAATAAAAAAATAAAAAAATGTACAAATGTCCTATCTACAATTTATTTCAATATTTATTAATTAACTAAAAATAGTGACGATGTTTATCTTAACCATAGACTGTTACATTACCTCAGATTAACGCCAGCCCATGACTGTATACATATAGAGGCGCCAATTGTCACTCATCTGCAGTTAAACCACTTAATGTTTCCGTTTCAAAGCGGGTGCCGGCTTCTGAAAGTGTGTGTAACGGACGCATCCATCAGGTGCTTGCGAAGCAAAAGCCTAAATAGGCACGCAAAGAAGCACAGCTCGTAATGCAGGTGTGTGAGTTGTCGTCATCTATTTTGGAGTGATTGCAATGTATTCTAAATATAAACTTGTACTGTAGATCAGCGTCATTTCTGGAAAAATCATTCACCGCTTTATTACGAGTTTAAAAGAGCGCGAGCGTCATTAACGTGCCCAGCACTAACGCTTTGAATTTGCGCGTACAATGAATAACATCGCGTCGGGAGCTGACTAAAAACGCTACAAAAGTAAAAAAAAGCCAACACACTACAACATTTTAAATGTTTAAAATAAAGGATCTCGGGTCTATCTTCTAAATTCTGCTGATGATTAGATTATAGCCTACCCTGACATCATCTACTTAGTTACGCCAATAATATCGCCAATAATATCAGTTTAGAATTTTTTTTCTAATCAGTAGCGACCGTGTCTTTCTCTTGAATTGTGTATAGCATAAGCTAACAATGCAATGCATAATATCATATTACTTATATTAATAATATGACAATATCTACAGTCAATATTGATTAAATGGGAGGGAAAAACCCTGCCAATACCGCAGCTATGAAAAAAATGATAAAAGCACTTAGGCTATGTTCATCTCCTGAAGTGGTATTCTGGAACTGTGAATAAATTGAATAAAACAGCAAAATAACAATAACATCTTCATTAAACAAAAAAGAGATTAAAGTTTGATTAATATGTAGGCCTACATACAGTAGCCTACTGGTAAAAAGTCTGGACCAATTACTATTTTGAATGTTTTTGAAAGAAGTTTCTTATTATGCTCTACAAGCCTGCATTTATTTGAATAAAAAAAAAAAAATTCTTCAAGGATGTGTTAAATATATAAAAAGTGATAGTGAAGACTTTTTTCAAACAAGTTTTTAATAATCAAAAAATCCTGAAAAAAAGTATCACAGGTTATAAAATAAATATTAAGCACCATTGCTAACATTTGATAATAAATCAGAATATTATAAAGTTTTCTGAAGGATCACGTGACACTAAATTCAGCTTTGCATCACAGAAATATATTTTAAAGTATAGTAAAATAGGAAAACCATTATTTTAAATTGTAATAATATTTCACTATATATTTTTCTGTATTTTTGATCAAATAAATCCAGGCTTGATGAGCATAAGAGACTTCTTTCAAAAACATTAAAAATGGTAATGTGTCCAATCTTATGTACTGTGTAAGTAAAAATATACAACATCTAAAATTAAATGTTGTATAAATTAAAAGGTTAGGAATCATATTTGTTTCAAGAGTTTTTTATTGGGGGTGGGGGGCCTCCAACATGAATATTGCCTAGGGCCTCCAAATGTCTAGAACCGGCCCTGGCTACACCTAGAAAACAGATTAGTAAGAATAACCACAGCTATTTCCCTTCATTTTGATAAACTTTATGCTCATAGGTCACAGATGCTGTATCCAAGCAAGTATGTGAAGCTCGCTCAGACCACCGAAGACGGGCCTGATAGAGCAACGGTAACAAAATTACTCCAATCAGAATGAGACCCTTATGACATTTACTTGGCAAACAAACAGTAGCATTTTCTGTCTGCCTAAAAACAAAAGAGATATTTGACCTCTGGAGAATGTACAAAAATGTATATTGGGATGTAGAATTCATCTTTTGGATTAAAATGATTTGTCTGGAGTTCTTTTGCCAGTGAATTTAGAGATACATTCATAAGCCAACACTGTAAATCTTACTCGACTTTTGTTAACAGTTTAAGATTATCCAGTGAATTCCATTTCATTTTTTGAAAAAGTCCTAATTAATGAATTACAATTGAATTATTTTGAATACAAATAAAAGTGGATCATCAATATATTTGTTATATCAATATAAAAAACTTCTTTCCCCCATTTATATAATTTGAACTATAGTGTGAATTTAAATAGCACACACTATAGTTCAAAAGTTTGGGGTCAATAAGATTTTTTGTTTAAAAGAAGAAAAAATTAATTGAGCAAGACAATTGCTCATAATGTTACTAAGGATTTTTATTATTTAACTATTTGAACTCTATTTATCAAAGAATCCTGAAATAAAAACATGTATTATGGTTTCCATAAAATCATCTAAAGCAGCAAATCATCATATTAGAATGATTTCTGAAGGATCATGTGACACTGAATTCAGCTTTTCATCACAGGAATATTTACATTTTAAAATATATTAGAAAACAGTTATTTTAAATTGTAATAATATTTCACAATATTATGGTTTTTCCTGTATTTGGTGAGCAGAAGACTTTCAAAAACATGGAAAAAATCTTAAAGACCCCCAAATGTATATATATATATTTATATATATGTTATAACATCTCTCTTTGTGAGATGTTCACCTTGAAAAGTTAGCTTTCCGTCAGAAAACCCCCTAATAATTTCCTGCTGTCATGCTTAATGGATCTTTAGGGACACCAAATTGAGCTCAACAAATTACTCCATGAAAGCAGATTTAGTGGTTTGTACTCACTAACTTCATTTTTACAATCTGTTTTCAGCATGAAGAACAATCTTGGTTAGATCTTGAAAGTCAAGCTTGGAAACTTGTAAAACATCTCATGGTTTGAATTATCACTGATCCAAGAATCCACTGTCCCAGCATTGAGTTCTTGCCTTTTATTGAAGAATGGAATCCATTTCAGATATGTGATTGTTTTCCTGAAGAGAGGAGAGATAAGAAATCATATTTAGGAGACTGTAAACTTTTAATGTGTGAGATGTTTTTTAAGCAGACCCTCCTCTTCTTATAGTCTATTGTCTCCTGAACAATATCTATTCCATTCCCCATATAAATGTCCTCCTCGCTCTTACCATGTCCTCGTCACACTCCTCGTGTGTGTGGTCCTCGCTCTCCTCCACATCACTGTGCTGCAGGTCCTCTGACTCGGAGCCTGACTCGTCCTGGGACAGTTCGCTCTTCACTTCATCTGCCTTCTGCAACTCTGCACACAGAGGAACATTTACAAATAAACACATTTTTCGAAATGGAAAAGTTTGAATACATATTTTTTGGTTGGTGAGTATTATATTTGATACATCAGGCTTTTATGGCTCATATAGTATGATTTAGTGATAATATGGAGCTCACGCTTGAGGAAGAAAGAAATATGCAATTTGGTGCAGTTGCTGATATATATGTATGGCCAAAAGGTAAGATGAAAATCTGATAAATCAATGAGACTTCTTGCATTAAAATGCATATAAATATAAATTGTCACACTATCTCTCAGTAACATGTTTTAGTAAAATTAGAGAGACATCAAATCCAAAAATAATTTATTGCTATTTTTCCATCTTATTAGGACGCAAATAATTCAATTTCATGTTTTTTTTTTTTTTAAACATGACTTTTATTTTTGATTTTAATATTTGTATCCTCCAGGATACGTTGCCCTTTTGGGGTATAAATTCATTAAAAAAGAATGCTTGTTTGGCAATGCGTATAACAACATAAAACATTTTAAAACATTTATTCTCTTATAACTTAAACTAAACATTCTTTGCAAAATTCTGTTGAACAATAATTGCCTATTTATGAATATATTAGAATTTAATATGCACATTTCTAGGGCCTATAAATGATCAATATTACCAAAACTTTGCTGAAAAAGCTATTGTACACAATCTACTTTATGCCTTCTGATTGATAGTTCATACCTTTTTTTTTGTTGTTGATCTAAAATATTTAATGAAAGAGAAACATTTACTGGACTGAAGCAACTTGGGTTACCTTAAGTAAAAGTAGGCCTACATATAATCAGAGACATATTTACTTTAGTGAAAGTAGAAGTATCACAATGACAACCCTAAAGTAAAAAGTACCTGATTTTAAATGTACTTTAAGTATTAAAAGTAAAAACTTGCATAACAATTTATTCTCTTAATGTCTATATTCTAATGATTAATAAAACAGTTAATCCTAACTCATTCAACCTAATACTCCTATTATGATGTTCAATAATGATGGAAAAGCCGTTAATTTTTAAGTTTCTGTCACCATTTCTGGGAACAAGCTTGCAATTAGGCAATATACACATCAAGCTTAATGTGACGGGGTTTGGCTGTAAACGCGATAATTATGAACCTCTTGGCTTGCCATACTAACACACCCCACACCACTAAGTAAATCTAAATCTAAATCTAAAAACAAATTTCCGCGTATAAATTGCACGATAAACACACTGCGTGCTATAGAGACGCATTTAGTGTGACCGGGTTGATATGGCAACCAAACTTCACTGGTGAGACAAGCGTGCGACGAAAGGACGGTCAGGATGACGTTTTGGCAGGGGAAAAACTGATTAGAAAATGTTACGAAAATGTAACAGAACGTTGTAGAAATGTAGTGGAGTAGAAAGTATAATAATTGCTGCAAAATGTAACGAAGTAAAAGTAATAAGTATGCACTATTGATTCTACAAAAGTAAAGTAAAGATACGTGAAAAATGTACTTAAGTAAAGTAACGAAGTATTTGTAGCCTACTTCGTTACATTCCACCACTGGATAGTCAACAAAAGCACATGCAAATCTGTGTGTGTACGTATATATATATATATATATATATATATATATATATATATATATATATATATATACATATATATACATACACAGTTTTTTTGCATGCAAACCTGTGTGTATGTGTGTGTGAGAATTCATCATCATATTGTGTTTTTTTAAGTTGGAGGGCCTGTCTCTTCATTGGAGTGCGGCCCAAAGTATTGAACTGATTTTATAAAACAGGCCACAAAAAATGATGAAGTTTATAGACCGATAGAGTCTACTTCAAACCCCTAAAAGAGTGACGTATCCCCTGAGATACAAACATTTACAGACAGATTATGAACATTTTTAACATAAACGTAATAAGCTAACGCTTACCAACAACTTTTTAAAGATGCAAGTCCCCTGCAAATATTTTTTACATATGTGTTATATATCAACTTTTATGAAGGTGAGTATACTTCCCACTACAGGTGGCCATGTTGTTTTTAAATTCCGCCTATGAGAAAGAATAAAGAATGTATAAACAAAGTGACCAGATCTAAATATTCACAACAAACACCCTTTCAACATGAAACCAAGAAATGAGACCTACAATTTTACTGCCTCTCCCCACAGCCTCTCAAATATTTGTATCCCCCAGAATACAATAAACTTTTAGGATTAATGAAGTGTCTCTATTTGCAATGCTTAAACGCAGCGTCTTTGTCAGTACGCATTGGGGATTATCTGTTCTCATCGTCATGAAGAATCACCATCCAAATTTTCACATCCTATAAACAACCAAGACACCTCTGTACAGACACAACTCCAGAGCAGTCATGTAAAAAAACAAAATCTGTTTTACTGTTGCCAAAGTGAAGAAAAACTTGGAGCTTGCTTTAATTTACACATCAGCCAGGCTGAAAAGTTCTGAGAATCCCAGAGTAAGTGCTAGTCGTCGTTCCTCCCTCACGGGGGCTTTTAACCCGCCTCATCCTCAACAGTCAGAATGAGCTTGGCTGTGCACAGAGTGACATCATCATTGATTAGACAAGCCATTAGCCACATCATAACAGCTCATACACATACGAGGCAGGAGAACGAAGCGGGTTTCCGTGTGTAAATAAACACGACAGGCATGTTGCGTTCTGCCGTAATGCTTGTCAAATGCTGATGTGAAACATAGAGACAAATCTGCAAAGTTTGATTGGAGCCACTGAGCCGTGAAAGTGTTGAACCGTGAAAGACTGGTGTGACCCTGGCAGTGCTGCGCTGTACACTCGCTCACGCTGAGTGTGTTTGTGTGCACAGTAAAATGCTTGCCGGGGTTTCCATATATGATTAAAAAAGTCCTTTCAAAGCTTTTCTCAAAAAAGAATTACTGAGAGGGAGGTATAACTGGCATATTTTGATGAAATCGTTTCTGATAGAATTCAATCTTGATTTATCACCAAACAACCACACTAGTATTGAACCGATTCTGTACTACAGAATAATACAGTATTGTGTGCGTACAGTATAAATGCATATTTCTGTTCACTTCATTCAGCAAGGATGCATTAAATTGATTGCAAGTGACAGTAAACACTTTTACATTATTAAAAAAGATAAAGGCTGTTCTTTTGAACTTTCTATTAATCAAAGAATTCGGAAAAAAATTCTGAAGCAGCACAACAGTTTTAAATATTAATAATAATAATTTTTGTTCAAAAGAACAGCATTTTTTTATTAAATAGAATTTTCTCGTAACAATGTGTTACAAAGGATTTCTACTATTTAACTATTTGAACTCTCTATTTATAAAAGAATCCTGAAATAAAAACGTGTATTATGGTTTCCACAAAAATAGTTCTTCAACAGCAAATCAGCATATTAGAAGTGACACTGAAGACTGGAGTAATGATACTGAAAATTCAGCTTTGCAACACAGGAATACATTACATTTAAAAATAACAGTTTTTTAATACATTTTAAATTGTAATAATATTTTTATATATAATATGTTTTTTTACTGTATTTGGTGAGCAGAAACCCCCAAAATGTATACATATTTATATATATGTTATAACATCTCTCTTTGTGAGATGTTCAGCTTGAAAAGTTAGCTTTCCGTCAGAAAACCCCCTAATAATTTCCTGCTGTCATGCGTAATGGATCTTTAGGGACACCAAATTGAGCTCAGCAAATTACTCCATGAAAGCAGATTTAGTGGTCAGTTTCCACAAAAATATGAAGCAGCACAACTGTTTTAAATATTGTCAATATTTTTGACAAATCCAAAGTTCAAAAGGATAGCATTTATTTGAAATAGAATTTTATTGTAAAAGGTTTGCTGTAACTTTTGCTCAATTTAATGCATTCTTGCAGAATAAAAGTATCAATTTCTTTTTAATAAAAATCGTACTGAGCCCAAACCTTTGAATGGTATTGTTTGCGTGTGTGTGTGTATAGGAGATATACGACGTGGCACCTGCGGCACAGTATTTGTCCTCTGTGATCTGGTCAAGACGTCCCAGCAGCGCGTCGATGTTGGACTTGATCTGCGTCAGTTCTGATTTGATAGCTTGCAGCTCTGTAGATTTCACTGCTCACAAGTACACACAAGTTTAACAAGAGAACACAATGTTTTAGTTTTGATAAATCAGGTTTATATTTTACCATAAAACCAAAAACAGAAATAAAAGCAGTGCCCTGGTATTCTGACTCCCAAGACAAAAGTTTTTTCTGCTGCTATATTGAAACATCCTAAATCCTAAACCTGACATGTTAATCGGTCAACTGTCTCAAAGGCCGGTTCAAGAGTTTATCCAGTCCATAAGTCATCTCAGTGCACTGGCTCTGAAGAAGAAGATCTTGAGTTGTCACGCAATGGAATCAAGATACAATTCTGGAGTCCTGACCATGAACTCACTTAAAATACCAGTTGAACTCACACTTGTGTTTGACAGAGCTGTTGGGAAGGAGAGTGGATCTGGTCAGGAGCTTGACAGGTAATGACTTCACCCTGCGGACAACAGGCACTGCCACACGGGGGCGCTTTACTGGAACTGCTCTGGGCACTGGTGAAACTCTGCCTCGGTACTCAAACAGTCTGGAGACAGAAAGACAGATATGAAGAAGCTAACTGCTTCATGCAACTACATTACTAGTACTATCTATGAGCATATCTGGGTTATTAGTTGTTTAGTTTCTTTCAGTCAACTTCAAAAGAGAAGGGAAAAAAGAAAAACAATTTACAAACATACATGGAAACAAAAATTAAATTACAATGAATCTGAATCTGAATCCATTTATTGTGGATTTTGGATATTAACAATATGGGTATTGTTATCCATCAATGTAAACAATAGTAAAAAAAAGTTGCTTGACCGAAAAGGTGTCGGGCTGAAGCTTACATTGGTTCTAATCTGTGGTTTACTGAACATGAGTGTTCCTCTGAGCTCATAAGGAGTAGATTTCATCTGAAACAGGTTTTGGACATAAAATGGGTCATGTTGTATTTGTGAAGTTATTTTTTTTTAAACCAAAAAATTAAAAAAAGTGTGTTTACTGTGTTCAAGAAATCATATTTTCCCAAAGTAAACAACAAAAACACCATACCCACCTCCTCCATTTTCAATTTACATATGTGAGTTTGTTGATGACAGATTCGAAAAATATAACATATGTATCATTAAAGTTCACCTATAAAAAAGCACTGCATTATTTCAACCCGGTCACCATTGGAATTCATATTATTGGACAAATAATTTCAAAACCTTTTTTGCGCCCATCTTATTAAATTTAAAAGGTTTGGGGGTCAGTGCAAAAAATGGCAAAATTTTCTTCCATATTTTTATGATGTCATAGATATAAAAAACTATTTTGTGAAAAATGAATTCCAAAAATTCAGCATTTTGTCAGAATGTGAAAGTTCTAGTAAATATACTGTATGTGTGTGTGTGTGTGTGTATACACTTAAATAATTAAGTTTAAGTACAAAAATGACTAAAACCAAAACAGAAATAGAAATAAAACTAAATAGAAACTAAGAAAAAGGACAAAAGCACATAACAAATTTACTAAAACTTGAAGATATTAAAATAAAAAGCTAAATCAAAATATGAATAAATACTATAATATATATATAAATAATACTAAAGTAACACTGGTATTGTCATTTTTTTTTTTTTTGTAAATTCATGCTGTTAAAAAAATCAGTAACGCTTCCTTTTACAGTACAGTACTTATGTGTACTTACAGTGTACTTACCTAGAAAGTACTGGCTAATATAAGGTAAGTAGGTAGGTTCAGGGGTAGTACCTAGTTATTACCCAGTAATTATAATTACTATAATAAGTACATAGTAAGTACATGGGTAACAGGACTGTAAAAGGAAGCGTTACCAAAAAATCCTTAGATAGAATTTTATCCTTAAATTGTTTTGGGGAAAGTAAAAGCAAAGTGTGATCTTTGAGCAGAGCGTGTTTGAAGCTCTTCCGATCAGAGAATATCTGCTTTCATCCATCATACATCGACTCATCATGAACAGAACGAGAGATGTGTCCGACTCAGAGGAGCTCTCAGCTACATCTCGCATCTTCTGACAGTGTTCGTCTTTGCATTGTGGCCAAATTAGCCGAATTGAAGCCAAAAGTGAATCCAATTACTATCAAGCATGAAGGAAGTGATGTGGCAAGAATAAAGTGGGAGAAGATACTTTTGCCTTCAAAGAGAAGAACGTCTGCTGCCCAGACAGGAACCTAAAAGCAACCAGCTGGCCTCCCACATGCAATCTATGCAGCTTTATTGACTGATCCGCAATCCAAGAGATTAAATTATTGGATGCGTTTGCTGAAAAATATCGACTGCAGTCAGTGTCGCCCTTAGACAGCTGTAAGTTAGGGAGCAGAGATCACAAGAGAGATATCAATAAACATGTCAGCTCATCATATGGACGCAATATCCCTTACATCTGCAAACAAGTACATCCAGCTGAGTCTCTCAGCAGGGTTTCCATAGCTACCGAAAAGGGACGCTGGCCAACCCTGCGCTCGCCAATCCAAAGTTTGCTTAACGGGTTGTGGAGGGAGTTCTTGTGAAATGCATATTTTTTCTCTGTCTGTATTTCTTTCTGCAGCTTACAGCTGTGTGTGAGTGTTTTTATGAGTTCCTTTAGATTCAGCCAAGTTGACATGAGAAAATGTATTATGACAGGAAGAGCCGTGCTAGGGAGAGAGCTCTGTGCTTGACTTCATTATAAGTCACTGGGTTACTGCACTAAAAATGGCTCCACATAAAGCCTGGCTGCAGAGCTACGAGTTCAGGTCAGCCTATTTTAGTGTGAGCAAAGTGCTTTCTGCACTCAATCAATCAAGCTTTTGAGTAAATGGAGTTAGTTATTGTACTAGAGTATCTTTTTGGTAGGGAAAGAGCTTTGAGATTGACTGTACATATAGATTCCAAGAAATCTGAGGCTGCAGAAAGCTACAGAAAAGAGAAGGAATCACTGCAGTTCACAGAAACAAAAAAAACTGGACGCAGGCAGCGAAACATGGATTTGCAGTTATCATTTTGTGTCAATATGTTGAATTTTGGGGTAAAATCATACCCAATATATTGTATTGTTATATATTGTATTGACAACTCTATTTACCATCTTACTGTATATTCTGCATAATATTGGAGGTTTTTAAACACTGACAACAAAAGTTTTAGGGCTGGATGATGTGATGTTATATATAGTCGTTGTAGATTTCCTACCTTTCAACAAAAGCATTTGTGCAAAATCATGGACTCACCTGTCATAGAAGTCATCTCTGTAGTAATCATAGTCAAAATCATAACCACTGCAGGGATTAAAGACACAAAAGGCATCAATATAAGTGATTCACAGGACTTTAAAAAAAGTGAAGGAAATACATTTTCAACATAAAAGCGAGACTGAAGCAACTAGTCATTTTCAACTTAGATACTATGAAGTCTTCACTTGATATAAAGCTAGTAAATATGTTCACCATTATTGAAACTCAAAACGATACACATAATGTATCACACTATATGGGGCAAGTTGTCACCGTGCTAACACATGTTAGAACGATTTATATACTTTTATTTGAAATGCTAAAATCTAAAATAAAAAGCAGTAAAACATACTGTTCAACTTGTTTCTAATTTAATGTATTTTGAAATGTGATTTATTCCTGTGACGAATTTTCAGCATCATTACTCCAGTCTTCAGAGTCGCATGAGCCTTCAGAAATCATTCTTATATGCTGATTTGTTACTCAAGAAATATGACTTATTATAATCAATGTTGAAAACAGTTGCTTAATATTTTTGTGAAGACCGCGATACATTTTTTTCAGGATTCTTCGATGAATATAAATTAAAAAAGAACCGTATTTATTTGAAATGGAAATTGTGTAACATTATAATTGTCTTTACTGTCACGTTTGATCAATATAATGTGTCCTTACAGAATAAAAGTAAATCTCTCTCTCGCAAAAAAACCCCCAAAACTTCCTGACCCCAAACTTTGAACGGTAGTATATGTAGGCCTATATTTAAAAAGTAGACTATTCAAAAACAAATATTTAAGCAATGAAACATTTATGAAACATAAATCATGAAAACTGGAAACGGTAACACAAAAATACTGTATCAAACCATTCTTTTGACCAACAAACTGTGATTAATGAAATGTGTAAAATTACAATTTATAAAACACATATGACAAATTGCCCCGGTCTTTCCTATACAGTATCTATGTGTGTTTATGTGTGGTTTGTTGCTAAATATGTTGTTGAGTTGGTTAATAATAATACATACTGTAATATTATATTTAAAGGGATAGTTCACCCAAAAATGAAAATTAAGTCATTAATTACTCACCCTCATGCTGTACCAACCCCGTAAGACCTTCGTTCATCTTCGGAACACAAATTAAGATATTTTTGATTAAATCTGAGAGGTGGATCACTCCTCCATAGGCTTCCTAAGGGAGTGAAACTTGACGGCCCAGAAAGTCATTGAAGAAAATGTTTAAATATTTCATGTGCCTACAGTGGCTCCACTATAAGTTTATCAAGCGACGAGAATACTTTTTGTGCGAAAAAACAACAAAAATAACGACTTTATTCGACTATACCATTGCTTCCTTGTGGGCCTGAGACGAGAGTTCAAGAGATTTCCACGACGCATGCGCGAGAACTGACGTTCTTCTTCTACTACACAGCGCGCGTCTTACAAGCAAGGAAGAGACTCGCGCTGAACACAAGGGGGTAATCCATCGACCGGAAGTTGAAGCCGGCCGGGTGCCGCCATGTTGTAGCAGAACTTCACTTGCGTTAGCATTTCCATTGACTCCCATTCATTTTGGCGTCACTTTGACAGCGAATAACTTTACATCTGAGGCGTTTAAAGACTCCATTTGTCCATTATTTATTTCTAAAGAAACACGACAATGTATAAAGGGCTCCATTACCTTCTATGTTACATTATGGCCCCGTAGAAACAGATTTTGTAAAAATAGGCTAACGATTGCGTCATAACCACTCGACTCTCTGTCGCGCTGTACAGAAATTACCGTACAGACAGGAGGAGAAGCTCGCAGGCAATCGGGGGGACGTCCCGTCAAGGGAGAAGCCCATAGATAATGAGCCCATAAAAGCAACGGAATACTTACTCCTGCTCACTCACGCCAAAGAACTCTTTGCTCAAGTTCCCCGTCTCTGCAAGATTAACGTTGGCAATTTTCACGCACATCTACTAGAAGATTAACGTCTGTCAGACAGGTTGCTCACGTCATCAAGCTTAGTTTGAGTCGGTTTGAGTCTGCGCGTCAGGAACGGAAGTTCTCAAAAATCGCTAAAAATGGGCTTCAACTGTCTCAACTGAGTTCCAATGAGATGGCTCTGTCCACTTCTTATACTGTCTATGGCTGTACATAGTAGTAGAAGAAGAACGTCAGTTCTCGCGCATGCGTCGTGGAAATCCAACGCATTCTCATCCTTTGGCGTCGTATAGGTGACGCCATATGACATTTCGTCGAAATCTTACGCACATGGCATCCTTTAGCGTCAATATAACACGCACTGTTATGGGTAGGTTTAGGCCTGGGGTAGGGTACGGTTATGACGCCTTGGGATCTGCGTCTCATATTCACGCTAAACGATGCCATGTGCGTTGGATTTAGATGAGCGTCACCTGTATGACGCCTTGGGTTCTGCGTCTCATATTGATGCTAAAGGATGCCATGTGCGTAAGATTTCAACGAAATGTCCAAAGCGTCACATGTATGACGCCAAAGGATGAGAACGGGCTGGGAAATCTCTTGAACTCTCGTCTCAGGCCCACAAGGAAGCAATGGTATAGTCGAATAAAGTCGTTTTTTTTGTGTTTTTTTCCGCACAAAAAGTATTCTCGTCGCTCGATAAACTTATAGTGGAGCCACTGTAGTCACATGAAATATTTAAATATTTTTTTCAATGACTTTCTGGGCCGTCAAGTTTCACTCCCTTAGGAAGCCTATGGAGGAGTGATCCACCTCTCAGATTTAATCAAAAATATCTTAATTTGTGTTCCGAAGATGAACGAAGGTCTTACGGGGTTGGTACAGCATGAGGGTGAGTAATTAATGACTTAATTTTCATTTTTGGGTGAACTATCCCTTTAATGTTCTGCAATCACCTGTATAATGTTGCTGCGGTCCTCTTTAGTCCTTTAGGCCTGTTGGGTTTGGGTTCACCTGCCATGTTAATATCTGTGAATATAAGCGGAAAACACACTTTCAGTCTAAACTATCTATAATCGCCTTATAAGAAATGCAGATTTTAAAAACTAATTATATGAAATGATCACTGAACAGACATACATAATCAAACAATGACAGATGGCAGAAGCCTTTCAAAATGACATCTGCAGCTATTTGATAATTGCAAGTTACCGGGGCACTTTGGGGCTGTTATCTAATGACTCTGTAATTATCACGGTGCACTGACATCACGGACACTTGTCATTAAGTGGGAGTGCTCGGATTTGCATAACCACATGCTCGTTGCGTCCACCAGAGGGCACTCCACACCCACTCAACAAGCCTGGAATGATCCCACGTCTCCTGCCACACTTCAGCCTCCTTGGCTTCCACTTTATAACAGCGATGACAGGATGAGGAGGAGAAAGAGAATAATGGATAGCTGCCTCTGAAGCAATGGAAGACATGGCTCTGTCACCCGATTTCATATTTCGAGCAGTCAAGTGAATACAGAAGTGAGGTCTGTCTGAGACAGCGAGAGGTGCTTGTGTTTGAGGGAGAGCTGTCAGCTGCAGCTCTGATTGGCCAGTGGAGAACGAGTGGGGCCGTGTGAGTGACAGGTCACCGGGGCTGTCAAGCGGAAGCCAAAGGCTCCGTGGAGCGAGAAACAGCAGCTAATCTGACCGCCCAAAAAAACATGTATGTCATCAAGCAGCTGTGGAGGGCTGGAGGGCAAAAGAGAGACAGAGAAACAAAGATTGGAACAGAAGGAGACAGAGATCGAACTAAACAGACGGGATTGAGCAGGGACAAGAGAGAGATAGAGACGTAGAAGAAGGAAGCGAGCAAATGAACAACTGTCTGATGTCCTCAGCGTGACACGAACACCTGCCGCTGACACACCTGTCCTGTTCCTCATTTATCTGAGGGGGGCGGGGTCTGTCCATCGGTTGCCTGGATACCAGCACAGCTGAGAAACCAATCAGTGTCTAGAGGTCACCTCGTAGAGGACGCGCCATTACGGGCTGGCATGATGAGGCTTAAAACTACTTGATAACTGAAATAGCACTGTGATAAATAATATGACCCCCCATTGACTGTGCGTAATTCAAGGGTGGCAGTGGCACACGCTAAAGACACAGATATAGATTTCCCAGAATCTAGTAGGCTAAGTATATGTACTGTAGGAATTGTTTAGTGTCTGTAATGAGTTGCTCCAAACACTGAGGTTATGTTTAAAACACACTGCAATACGACTCTTACTATTTCCAGTAGTATAATAAATACAATTATTATTTTATTAATGTTTAATTAGGCTATTATTATCAATAAGCCAGCCAGCAGCAGTGTTACTAGAGTGTGTAAATATAACAAGAAAATAATATTATAATTATAATTATTATGTTTCTTCAATATAACTACTGTTTTAAATATTTATCATTGCATACATATTATTGCACATACAATAAAAAAATAGTTGGCAGTATCCATTAATTAGTATATAACAGTAAATAATCGGTACTTAATAAATAATTATAAATTGTTTTATTATATAATAAATAATTATTATTACAGTACATATAAATAACAACTCCTCTCTCTCTCCCCCTCTTTCTCTATATATATTTATATATAATTATTGCTATTATTTATTATATTCATGTTTCTGTTCTGTTTAAACTACTTCATACATCTTATTTACATTCTATAAAAAAGCAATGGGGAGTATCCAGTAATTTGTATGCTATTATTCCATTCCAAACAAATCCACACTGGGATAGTGTATGCTTACATATTTCTCTCTTGTAAGTGCCCCACTTTTAAAATAATAATCAATGCAAGAATTCAACAACTACATGAAAAAGTTCAATGCAAACTCAGAATTGATGGAGGTCAAGTGCCCTGAAGAGTGGAGAATGATGCTATCCCATTGGCCACCTTATAGCCTAATGTTGATGTAGTTGCAGTGCACTATACTGACCTCCTTCTGACCCTCCACAGTGATGGCCACAGGAAACTGTCATCAATAGATATTAATCTTAACCGCTTCAGTGTCATGGGGCTCGCTCTTGGCAGCAGTCATAGGGCATGCTAACCAAACACTCTACATGGTGCTTAAAAAGTCAGCTTGCTCCGACAGCAAATGCTGTGCACTTTTTTTTAACCTCGGAGAGATGTCATTCAAACGGGATATATAACTAGGGTAACCAGACATCCCGTTTTTCAGCTCTATTTTTAGTGTGCCGACTTTATGGAAAAATCATGTTTTGTCCCGTAACTTTATGAAACTTTCTTTATTTTTAAGTGATAGAGCGAGCAGTAATCTTGTGTCACGCAAGAATAGCCTTATCAAAGATAGCCAATAACGTCAGTATATTTTGTAGAACAAATCAATCATCCAATCACAATTCTCCATCGATTAACTTGCAGTTAGTGAAGGCAGGATCCGGCGTCAGTGTCAGTTATAGAAAGCGCGAACGAGATCAATTCGGACGCAAAACACTGTACTACTATTTATAGCACAAAAAAAACATCAGAAGGTATGTATAAAGATACAGTATACACTGAAATGTGGACAGCTGACTCAGTGTAACAGCAATGAAGGCAATGCTTTTCGTTTTCGTTAGACTACAGAAATATTTTTATATACAGTAGTGGCCAAAAGTGATGTCTGGAGAGAATATTTCAGTTGCACTTTATTTTTAGGTGGCGTAGTTACATTGTACTTACCCAAATAAGTACTGATTAATTAACTAAATGTACTTACTATAGAGGTACATTTAGGGTTAGCGTTTGGTTTAGGGTTAGTTACTAGTAATTATGCATCATTTACTGTTATTACTATAGTAAGTACTTGTAGTAACGCTTCACCTTAAAATAACTTTAGTGACCAAAATAAACAAACAACAAAATGGAAGTAAAGCGGCAGCCCCTCATGAACGTCTGCGCATATAAACCAAACCAAAATAAAACAACAACATAAATGTCTCAGGGCTGGTCTTCTCCAAGCGTGCCGCACAAGCCCTTAAAAGTGAAGCCAAAACGTCTCGATCGCCCCCCGGTGGCCGGTCCTAGTATAGGTCATAAACCCCGCCTCCCCATGTTATTCAACAGCACGTGAGATCAACTAAACAATTAAATTACACTTCAAATATCGTTTTTCCAAATATGGTTTCTGTCATTTACTGTATTTTTTATCACGCTGATGTAATTTCAAGTGTTTGTTTTTAGTTAGTTATTTGATGCGGTGGTGGTGACATCATGATTAACAGCTGTGATTGACAGGTTCTCTGAGCAAAGTAGTCACTGAAGCACCAACAGACTTTTTTTCAGGATCTTCGGAGGACTGAGGAGATTGGAGCTTTAAATTTAATATCTAAATTTCTATAATTAATTTTTAAAAAGTGCAGGAGCGTGTTCTTGAGATTGATTCAGCGAGAGTGAGGCGGGGCCTTGATTTCGCGGCTTTACTTCCTGCTCACTACTGCGCATGTCTGGTCCCGAAATCGCTTCTGCGCAGACTCAAGTTTCAAGATGTCAGCGCCATATCGGGATACTGGCGGCTTCACTTCTGACCAATGGAAGAGAGCGAAGGGGCGTCGTCCATCTTTTTTTACAGTCTATGGTCTTCTCTTGTCCTTCTCTGTCATCGCTCTTCCTGTTATCCTCTGAGACCGGAGGAGTTAATGAGCTCATTAACACTCGCACCACCGGCCTTCCGGTGGTGCGAGTGTTAATTTCCAAAGCTCTCTGCCCTGCCCTGCCCTGCCCTGCCCTGCTTGCCACAATGCCCATTTTCCTAGGCCAGGCATCATTTTTGGCCACTACTCTAGCTAACATTATTGTCATGTGTAGATATGTGTGTGGGGGTGAGAGTGCCTGTGGGACTTTGCATTGAGTTAACACCTTCTGAGAGCAGGGGGCAATACCTGGAAGACACACCCTCCTATGTTTGTGAATAATTTCTAAACTCTTAAAAACTTTATTGCCTTTTGTTTTACTTATTTGGAAATGAGACATTTGTACCAGTCGCACTGAGACATTTCAAATGATACTAAACATGTATAATACTCGATGATAATCATTCACATTAAACCATTTCGATTCTTGTGAGTTTGGGGGATCTTCACATGGGGGACGAGGGGGAGAAATGTAGATTAGGATGAGGGAGGTGAGACCTTCGGCTCAATAGTGCACGAGGGAGACATTCAAATGTTAATTAGCTTTGTTCTCTCAGAGAGTTGCGCTATTTTCCAGTCTTACACCATCCCTTATACCACTCTGAGAAATCTGATCACCCTACATATAACACACCCATACAGTATACTAGCAGATTCATTTTATTGTCCAACTCACCGAGGGTCTGTCCAGCAAGCACACGTCCATTTTCTCCAATGACTGCTCCACGAGCGTGTCTCTCATTGGCGTATTGAATGAAGGCGTAGCCTTTGTGAACCGAGCAGCCCAAAACTCTGCCATATTTGGAGAAGATCGTCTCTACGTCGCTCTTTTTCACCACCGCTGTGTTCAGGTTGCCAATAAACACGCGTGAGTTGATAGATTTGGGGTCATTTTTGTTGGTAATGTTGCTCGTCTGGACTTTCAGTGACATCTTGGTTAAAATGTGAACAGCAGTCTGGGGAAGAAACAGATGATGAAAGTTTAGACCAACAGCTGTATAATTAGGTTCATTTTGCAAACTGTGAAATGAACAAACCATATTCATGATTGGAACATACAGTACATACAAAGCTCAATTTTGTAGATTTCTTAGAAAAGAAATGAGTGGTGTTACAATTACTTTTGTGGTGGTTAAACTTTTATTAAATGTGTAAAATCAAAGAAATAAGAAATATATGAATGAAAAACAAATAGTTAACTTTCAACAAATTCAAATTATAATAATTACTGTTATTATTAATTATTAAAAACATGTATTATTAGTATTTATCATTTATAAAATAATACATATTATTGATAATGATAATAATTAATAATTATTATTTAAAACATTTTATTTTAACACATTTTATTATTATTATCATCATCATCATTATACAATAATAACCCATATTAGTTAACGTAATATTAACATTATTGTTATTATTAGTTGTAGTAGTAGTAGCAGCAGTAGCAATAATAATAATGGTAATACATACTTTTTTTTAAAGATGTAAAAAAAAAATCTCATAACAGGCCCATCCATAGAGAGCCATAAAAGATAGGCCCATATCTGGGGCTGTAAAGGTGCTGATTGTGCCTGCGAGCAAACATGAATCATGCTGATCATGGACACGCCCTGACCTATATATCGCTTAATTAATGAAGAAGGGATCAAAGCTCTCCTGACACCAGCACAGCACATCTGATGTACATTTCTCATGGGTGAGACTGGCTACACCCTACGCAGTGAAAGAAGACAGGACAGTAATTAGCTCACTGATCAAAGTGTTAATGATAGGCCATAAGAAAGAACAATCACATGAGATCTCTGTAGTATCTCAGTTGTTTCTCCTAGACTGGAATGGGATTCAACTGAGAGCAAAGGGAACTTTTGCTTAAGTCTCCTCTAGAGTTTCAAAAGATATCTCAATAATGACTCCATTTACTACATGCACCATCATAATGCGATTATAATGAGATTTAGGTAATATTACGCTTAAACTTTACCTTATGTAAACACAATACTTAGATAAAATTGATGCAATTAACCACATAATCGTAGTAACCATAATCATAATCCTAAAATATGTGGCGTATGTAAACACTTTAATCGCATCTATTCCACTCTCACCAAAGTGCGCATGTGACGTACACGGATGATGTCGTCATGCGCACAAAGTGGTAAAGAACGCTTAGCAATCTTTGTGATGCTGAAAAAACTGAGTTCATGTTGACAACGTTGCACGACATGAATGTAATGCTGTATATTGATGGTCGAAAACATATACAGTAAATGAAGACATCACCAAAAAAATCCAATATGTCCATAGAAACCACATTTCTTAGTGAATAAACACATTGAAAATTGCATGTAAACAGGAGTTAGGAGGTTTGTATTTGTCATCTAAACATCTCACTGCGGTTAAGTCTACCCTGATTATTGGAAATAACAACCCGGTCTCATGGGAAAACGTAAGTATTTTACGAGGTGGCGATTACGTATGAATTCGTACGAATTGATTCGTACAAAAACGACCGATTTTGAAAAAAGGAATGTCATTATGAAGGACCACCCCTAACCCCACCACTGGGATTTAAACAGATTGTACGAAAACCTACGAATGAGATCATACGAATTAGCCACCAATTCAGCAAACCGTAAAATAGTTACGAATTGACGTGAGATTGTGTTGGAAAAATCACATTACTGATGCACATGCAAACATAGTCAATGTTTCAAACAATCCTTAGATTTGCCAAGATACCAAAATCTAGGGCGACTGAAATGCCTTATTTAGCTCGGGACACCAAATAACCCTGAACCGCTACTGTTCATGACACCCACTATTCACAATCAAATCAATTCCCATTGGATACATTACAGTGAAGTAAAATGGGATACAAAAGTCTTCAGGAGCTACAAAACAGCAACATCCAATCAATAAAGTTTTCCTCTGAGAAGACTTATGCTTCATAAGTTTTCATAGTGAGGTGACATAAGAAGTTAAGCGTATTTGGAGCTTATAATGAAGACAGAAAAGAAGTCTGAGGTTAAAAGACGAGGTTCTCCTGACCGCTGCACGAGTGGCCCACCGCTGTTCCTTATTAGCAGCGTTGGAGTACGACTGAATGTGAAATCAGAGGAGAGTGAAGACCAAACTGCAAGCCTGTCAGGGTCAATTGACTGTGTCCCAGGTATGAGAGGAATAAGGTCTACTTTGAGGGCCGTTCAGTCCACAGCTTCCCTCCGACAGTGTCTGCTAATCACACAACATTCTCAGAGCAAGCGAACAGGAAGGTCATTTAGAGTGAAAGAGACGTTTCTCCTCTAATTACTTGCGTCTCTGTATATCTCACATTGCTGAGGATTGTACAAGTCTTTGAAGCCTGTGCTGCCTTTCTTTTCTCCTTGTTATGAAGACTAAAGGTTTTTGAACTGTGCTTTTTACTGCACGCTATCATCCCGCTCGCAGAAATAACCAGCCAATTCGTTGCTTTGCTCAGACTCGCCTTTAAAATCCTGCCTCCGTGAGACCCATTAACACCTGCTAAAGAGTTTCTAAAGAGTCTGGTTGTTGAAAGTGTCAAATGGTTTAGGGATCGTAGAATGTAATTAAATGATCGATTAGACTGGGAAAATACTGGAGCAGATTCCTCCATCAGGCCGTTTTAGACAGCATCCTGACAGAAGCATTCATGCGGATGAAAGACTCACACTACCTCCGGCTAACTTAATGAGCTGTGGGTTTGCAGCACTTCCATTTTTCCTCATTATGTCATTCACACAATTAACCCATTCAAGCGTACTATTTTGCATGAGTTTAATCAAAAAACTAAAACAAGGATGCACCATTTTGGATATTTTTGTCAGATAAAAAAACAAAAACAACAACAGGCGGATACTGCCATTTTTATTTTTTTTTTTACTTTGGAATTACACATTTAAATAAACACATAATATTATAATAATATATAAACAAACATGCCGGGGCAAAAGTTTGGGGTTGATAATAATAAATCTCTTATGCTCACCAGTTTGAAATCAAAATACATTAAAAACAGTAATATTTTGAAATATTATTACAATTAAAATAACTGCTTTCTATTTGAATATATTTTAAAAATGCAATTTATTCCTGTGATGTCAAAGCTGAATCACATGATCCTTCAGAAATTATTCTAATATGCTGATTTGCTGCTCAAGAAACATTTCTTTTTATTATCAATGTTGAAAACAGTTGTGTTGCTTAATATATTTGTGAAAACCATGATCAAAAATTTTTGCAGGATTTTTTGATGAATAGAAAGTTCCAAAGAATTGATTGAAAAATAAATTTTATTCTGACATAAATGTCTTTAATGTCACTTTTGATCACTTAATTCAAGCAATAATAATATTTTCAGAAATATAAGAGTCACTTATTTCATCTCTAAACAATAAACCCAATTGCGGAACAGTGGAAAAACATAACATTATTACTGTGATTGTGAGTATTACAATCAAACCGGCATGTAAAAGTTAAAGAATTTATAAAAACTTAAGAACTTCAGAGAACTTAAAAGCATTCTCTTTTTACAGCAAAAATAAGCCGTTTGCTGTTTCACAGCTCAGTCTGTTTTATTTTGCATTGCATGCGACTAGCCATGAAACACGTATTTTGCATTGTTTTATTAAAAATGTATTTGATAATAGAATTATTCATTTTCTACATTACTTTGGTCACTCACAGACTCCTGTGAGATGCAATACCTCTCACTCGTTTTGGTGATTTAATGCAAGTAATATATTACATATGTCTCACCATATGACATTAAGGGAAAACATAGATAAATTTAAGATAAATAAGATAAATTTAAGATAAATACTTTGCACCAAAGGAGGAGAACTGTGCATGTATAAACACAAATACTTGCATCCTTATGGCTATATCATTATTCACTATAAATATCACTATTCTTTTGATGCTCAACAACATCAGTCTAACTCATACAAGAAGCATCCAACATGCCTTTCATTTGCAATTTCATTCATTTTCATTGATTAGATTATGAGTAGAAAAAGCCCTACACAATCCAATAAATGTATACCTCAAATTCAAATATAATTTTTATTATTAATTGTTGATTATTAATAATCAGCAATTTTCATGCTAACAGACAATATGCTGATCGTTTTAATTAGATCAATAATTGGCTGATACATCAGTGCATCTCAACAAGTATAGCTGGGATTTAATGTGGTGAGCACAGGGAACTGTTTTTTAACAGTGTAATGGATGAAATTAACAGAGCAGAGATTGAATTGGATTGAGTCCAGGCCAAACAGAAAAGCGGTCTGTCAGGAATAGACACACACACACTGCACTGAGGTAAGCATGTGACTCTGGCACGCAAATGTTTGACTCCAGAGATTTGGCAGCGCTGTCCCACCACACGAGTGTCCCAGAAGCAGTCGCTTGCATTGCACAACACACTAATGCCAGGTTATTAAAATGTCCGGGGGCTGGATGGATGATCATCTGCCTTTACTGCTGACCTGAAGCCTGTTTTGCATTTTGTAGTAGTAGTAACAGTCCAGGTTAAAGTGTATTAGAGGTTTGCATCTTAAACTCAACTCTCAGCACTTTCAGCATACTGATAATGTGATAATAATCATACGAGTACATTGATTTACTCATAATGGATTCAACACTTCTTAATGACATTAAAAGACTATGGATTCGGTCTACACTGTAGAAAATATTAGTCATTTGGAAAATGCTCTACAAAACATGTTAATTGGTTAAAAGTAATATACAGTGCATGTTTATTTTTACTGATATTGTTTTATTAAACACACACACACCTTTGTGGGGACTCTCTAGACATAATGGTTTTTATACAGTACAAACTGTATATTCTATCCCCAAACACTAACCCTAAACGTGCCCATCACAGAAAACGTTCTGCATTTTTACATTTTCAAAAATTGAC